GAAGGAAAGGAAAGGAAAGGAAGGAAGGGGGAGAGAGAGGATAGGGGAGAAGCATGGAGAAAGAAGGAAGAAGAAGGGAAGGGATCGGGATGGGGGAACATACAGAGAAGCATTTTGATAACCAGAAATTTATATCGCAAATTTCGATATCAATTCCGTCCTCGATATTCCTTCCCGTCTAGTCTAGTCTTTCCAATACCAATACTAGTACCAGTATCTATCTCTCACAGCCCACAATTCACAAAATCACCAATTCAATCCAATCCAATCCAATCCAATCCAATCCCTCAAACGTTCAAGAAATCCGATCTGTACTCAGTAATTTCGTATTATGTATGCTGTATATTGTATATTGTATAATACGCAACCTGAACCTGAACCTCAACCTCAAAAATTAAAAAAATTTCTTTATCATGACTTCATAGCATAGGGAACTTTTTCTCCCACTTCGCTCGCTTGCTTATGTAATTAAATCCCAAAGCTTTAAGCTCGGTTCGTTTTCTTACCCTCGGACTCAAAATCAAAAATACACCGATGGATGGACTGGCTGGGGGTCCCGTAGGCTGGGAAGGTAGGCTCACTTAGTGGATGGATGGATAAGTGAGTAGTGGGCTGAAAAGCCTGAAATAAATCTAATAACTTGTTTCTAGAATTGGCTGGCTGACTGGCACTGGACTGGCTGACTGGTAGGTCTAGCAACAGTCGGTGCGTTATGCGTTAATAATAAGGTTCATTCGTTTACAGTTACAGAGAGTGAATTGCATACCTACCTACCTAGTAGGTACATGCATAGTGTTTGTCGAAGCGCTTTAAAGTTAGATTATTTACAGACCGACTAGGTACTTACCTACTTTACTGAGGTTTGTTTGTCATTTGTTATTTGTACCCCTCTCATCCCATCTCTTCTCTTCCTCTCTTGAGTCTCTTCATAGTACCTACCGACTTCTCTTGTCTATGAGTACGAATTGAAATTGAATTGAATTGAAAATAGGATTAGGATTAAGATTTGCAAATTACGAATAACGACGCTTCACGAGACGAAATTTTTGTTGGGTTAGATTTGAAGTTGAGTTTGAATTTGTTTGAGGTGTTGGGTTAAAGTTGAAGTTTAAAGGTGGAATTTTGGGATCAACGTGTTTGCACACACGGAAGATACGATACTTATTACTTTGCTTGACGACGGTGCTGAACGAACGGGTAGTTGGGTTTGGTTTGATTCGGGTTGAGATTAGGTATTGAAGATTGTAAGGTTTGTGGTTTCGGGATTGAGGATTGTGAGTGAGACTTGGGGTTTCGGGATTTGAAGAGGAAGGAAAGGAAAAGGAAAGGAAAAGGAAAGGAAAAGGAAAGGAAAGACGAAAGGACGAAAGGAAGATAGGACGAAAGGACGATAGGACGAAAGGAAGATAAGACGAAAGCACGATCGGACGATCGGACGAAAGCACGATCAGACAAAAGGTGAAGATCAGATAAAATGGCGGATCCGAGGGATGTTGAGTATGAAGAATTCGATGTATGTTACTTCAGTCCCTATTGGATCTAGAAACCTATACTAATACATCTCAGGGAGCTTCCCCCACCGAGCAACTCATCCACGCAGCCCGCGGTAACAACATCGACCTGATGCAGGACATACTCGGCGACTGTAAGAGTGAAGAAGCCGCCGCCGAACTCCTCAACAACGCCAAAGATAAAAGCGGAAGATATGTTTATCACATTGCTGCTGGTCAGGGACTCTGTATGTTCCCCATTACATTGAATTTGCATTCCCCGATTCCAAATTCCATACAACGAGTACGGAATGAACAAAACTAACATACATAACCCCATGAAGACGACATGATCGACTGGCTCCTTCGTCAAGAAGGATTCGAATGCGACCCCGTCTCCCGCGCCCCAGGCGAAGAAGCTGGCGATACCCCTCTCCATTCCGCTGTCCGCTTCATCAACGACCTCCGACCCACCCCCACAAACTTAGCTGCTGGTAAAGAGCTAGTCGAACTGATGCTCGAAGCCGGCAGCGAGAAAGACATTAAAAATAGGCAAGGCATTACACCTATAACATTAGTTGCTCCGCAGAATCCGGAACTGAAGGATTTTATCAAGGGTTATGCGTTTGAGGATGAGGATGAGGAAGAGGAAACTGATCCTGCGCCTGGAAAACTGGATTCGAATTATTTGGATTATGATGAGGTGGCCGAGGGGGATGATGATGATGTGAGGAGCGTGTACAGTGGAAGTGACAGTGATGATGAAAAGGAGTTTAGAAGACTTAAAGAAGAGAAGGCAAAAAGAGCGGCTAATTAGGTTTCCCTATCTCATTGTTCGCTTTGCTTTCATACTTTGGAGACTGGTGTTTGCTAGATACGTATGATGCGATGGCCAATCATACATAGAATAGCGAGAGAGAGAGAGAGAAAGAAAAATGATACCTATTTGATCCGAACGTAAACGCCATCATACAGAGTAAATGACAGACAATGAAAATTTCACATTCGGTTGAACAAGGAAAGACCTCCAGGAACCCACCCTTCTCAGACAAGTCGCATTTTTTCCCGTTCCCATTTCATATCCAACCATCTGAATCGATCCAGATTCCACTTTTTCGTAGCAACCTTCAATTGGAGTTTTATGAGTCCTATGCGGCGATAGGTATGTATTTCGGTGTCTGGCCCTGGTTCTTGAGCTTCAGCTTGTAGATTGGTACTGGTGGGGGTTTCTGTGATGTTACCTCTTTCCATATCACCAGGATCTTCGACTTGAGATTGAGACGCAGTAGGCGAAGTCGTCTTGGGTGTATCTTCCTTATCATCGTCATATCCTTGATTTGTTTTCGTATCTGTATCTACATTTGCATCTGCATTTGCATTGGTCCCATTGATACTTTTGAGAACCAGGCCAAATGCATATCTTGTGTGTGATGCTATGAAGAGCACTTTATATGGCAGTCGTTTGAAATTCCCCGTTGTGGCTGTGGCTTTCTCTTTCTTTCCCTTCTCATCACCGGCCCCACCCCCTTTAACCAATAACCACGAGTCTCCCCCTGATCTCTGCACCAGCCAGACATGGCTTTTCCTGCCCCACCCCTCTGACATCTCCGCATCCGGATCCCAAAACACATCTCCCGATGTAGGGGATTTTATCCCGTGATCTGCTACGCGCATGGGTAATGTGTATCCATCAACGACCAACTCTACGCTTTTAATCGCGCCATAGGGATTCATGCTCGCGGGGACGATATTGTGGGAAAGGAGTGTAGGGTCGAGAGGAGTGGGGACGAGGATCTTGTTAAAGAAATTGTGGATTGCGCCGTTTACTGTGGCCCAAGACCATGAAGGAATTATGGAATTCGATGGCTCAGAATTGGTTGTGTGGGATGTGGCTTCGTGCCCAAAATACCATATCATTCCTTCGCGAAGATGACTACTCCATATCCCAGCCAGATATACCGAATCCAGATATCCTCCATGTCTCAGCTCACCATGCACTAATGACGCAATACCCGAGAAGGCCGGGAATTTATCCGATGGATATGTAAGACTGCGTGTACAATAGTCTACGACCATTTGATCATGATATTCCATGAGTATCTGGGTGATGTTCTTTGGGGAGCTAGGGTCTTGGTCTGGACCCTGCGTTTGTTTGAATATTCGATCTTTGATACGTTCATATCTAAACGCGCGTTTCCAATGAACATCGTAGTCGTGGATGCCGTCGGCCGAGGAATAGTGGTGAAGACATTGCCAGTGGATTTGTTGGGAGCCGTAGTACAGGGTGCGAGGAGAGAGGATTTCTTCCTGGAGGGTCCAGCCGCGGTTGGCGAGGGGTCCGTTGCGTAGGAGGTGTCCGAGGTCTTCGCGAGTGGCATCTCGTCTGACTATATCGATGTGATCGTGGGAACTGCTGTTTGTGGATAGTTTGAGCTTGATGGATGGACCGCCGTTGAGATCATAGGTGGAAAATGTGTGCAGCATGCCATCTGTGGCTTTGGATGCGGCGGCTGCTGCAAGTGTTACGATGGCGTCGCGGTAGATGTTTCCCATGTGTTTGGACTCCACGTCCCAGTCTTCGTGTGAGTCTTGCATGATACATAAACAGTCGATCCATAGATACTTGAACCCAAGATCTCGCGTGATTAAGATTGCATCTACGAAGTTCGCTGGCAAGCTGGTCATTGGGATCGTGTTCTTGAAAGATTCGGCTGTGTCTGAGGTCAATTTCGCTTCCTCCACTACTGACCCTCCCCAACAGTGGCTGAGTGCTATGAACTTGCCATTTCCACGATTTGTCGAGACGAGGAATGGTTCTCTGTCGTCTGAGCCAACATTTATCACCCTCGAAGGGAGTGGCTTATCCTCAATTCGAGGACATTCGTTGTGTTTCTCACTGCAAGTTGCAATCCAATCCCGCGCGATACTCAAGTTGGTTTCAGATCCAAGATTAGGATCAAGGGCAAAGTGGCCAATCTTGAGCGCGCCAACAAATTTGGCTTGCCCTGTCGTATTCGTGAGTAAACGATCTCATCTACATCTCGAGTGGTAACAGTAAAGCGAAACAATAATACCTCGAGGTGCTTGCAACGAAAAGGTCAGAGGACCAACAAGACTCTTAATTTCCCGATCGGGACTGTTACTTCTAACATGAAAGGTCAGAAGATCAAGAATCATGTCTTTGTAAGACATGATATAATTTGTTTTTGAACGTTTTAGCTTCCCCGCTGTAGACTTTGGGTTTTCACTCTCTGGGCTCGGTGCTGGTGTTATTGAATTCAGTGTAGCTGATGCAGATGATTTTCCTAAAGCAATCAAATGGTTCGGAGGCTCGACAGCAGCAGATCTATCGGTCAAATAAGCCGCTCTATCGCGTGGTATCATCCCAGGACTCATAGAACCATGAAAAACTTTATCCTCCGAATCGATGGAGATATCGAACCCCATCGACGTCCCATCTCTCTCCATCTTCAGCAACGCATCTTTATAACTCAACATTCCTTCCCCAGGACTCCGCAGCTCCCCATCCAACGCCTCTAGCAGAGCCTGGCAAAGCTCGCAGCCCGCTTGGGCCGCCTCTACCAGATGCTCATATTTCGCACCATGCCTCCAGTACACAAACTCCGCCTTCGATGCGCCATCACGCCGCTCATTCTCCAAATTCTTATAATTGGTTTTGGCGACCTGGACCAAATCGGTCACGTTAATACTCGCGCATAATTCGCAAAGCATTTGCACGAATAGACAACTTTAATGATCCGATGAATGACAGAAACTTCAGTCACAAACATCGCATTTTCACATTCCATAATATACGAAACAGTTTGAACCCAATGTAACCACACTCACTGGCAGCCGGCCATCCGTGGGCGTCTCTGCTGTGCCATCATGCAGTATACCATGTAGAAAATCATGCCCTACCAGCCCTGGTAGTAGTAGATAGGCAGGGGCCCGAATCCTGCCAGACTCCATTGCTTCACGGCGGCCACTGGACCACAACTTGCTTCACTTGCCACTCATCACACTCATCACACCCATCAAGATCCCAATAACAGAACAAGCGGATGCAAAACCTAAGATGTGGAACATACATCATCATCATCATCCACAATGCGACGACGATCCGATGAATGAGATTCTTTGTTCAGAACATTTAAGCGGGGTGGATTTCTTCTTTCAGTATATGGCAGGAAAAACTAATCCTATCCGAGTTAACGATTTAGATACTCGCTTCTAATTCGTTCTTTATGGTACAAAAGTAACCCACATGCAACAGTTCATTGCTGCAGCTTTTGCAGTTCCTCAAACAAATATATAACTAATTAATTAGCCAATCAACCAATCAACCAACCAACCAAAACCCTATTTACGACCAAATAACCAACCAAAATCCTCAATTACGCGCGTCAACGTCCATCCATGCCGATTCTCGATTCAAAATTCATAACCGCTTTTTTTATTTATTGTCATTCTCATTTCATTCAAATACCATACCTTACCTTACTTCAGCACCTCCCCTCCCCTGCTTCATCACCTCACCACCTCACCACCAACTTTTCCCCCAGCTAAGATTTGACAGCGTCATACATACTCGAGTACATATATATACTTGAGTATATTATATCATATTAAATCAGATCATATTGCATTCAGTTTCTAGAGATTTTCAAAAGGCCTAGTAGGTCGTAAACTCTTTGTACTGTACATAAACATATTAGGTATAAGTATAGGTATCGTTATGTATGTATCTATTACGTATGTAAGTAAGGTAAGGTGAGGTGAGGGATCTCAAAGAAAACTAAGTTATGCACCCCATCAATCCATGCATCCATCCATATCCATCGGCCCAAAAATATAAACGCCGGTACACAAACTATAAGGGGTATCTATCTCAACGCCGCACCACTCGCATGAATCATCTCTCTTCCCCTCTGTTCTTTTCTCCATCCATGTCCCATTCAAACCAAACCAACCCAATCCAATCTATACAACCAACCTTCCTCGCAAATCTTCCAACCCCCTCGCCCCCCCCCCTCTTTCCCCAATTCATAATCAACACAACCAAATCCCCCAAACCAGCACCCCCACCAACGCCCCCCAACTCCCCATTTTCGCCTTCTCACTCAATCCCTCTCCTCCCACATTCTTCATCGCCATTTCAATAATATACGTCTCATTCATGGCCAACTCCGTAATTTCCTTAGTGACCTTCCCCGCACTAGCCAAAGTTCTCATCTGATCCCCAAGCACCTTAAGAATATTCGTGCTCCTTCCTTCCGGACAAAAGACTATCTCCCATCCGCCTCCTGTGGGAATGACGAATGTGGATGTTTGATCATCAAAGGCATAGCCGTATGCATCCGGACATATGGTATTTGCCGCATTTGCGAAATCGTTGCGAGGGCATTTAGTAGGCTCGTCGTAAGAACCCGTGCAGCAATCAGATGGCGCGTTGGTCTTTGAACACGCCGAAAGACAGGGATCGAATGTTGGACGTTCGATCGTACTGTCCGGGTAAGGGTAGACGCCATCGCCTGGCTTGTCGGGTGGCGTCTTTTGAAGATCCCAGGGACACCAACTCATGGCTGCAGTGTTATCCACCGTATCCTCCAAGGGGATAGGGTAAGTGGCATTGGAGGAGTTGCCGTTGGTACCTGTGCTTGCTACAGCTGCGAGATAACCGGTGGAAGCAATACAGGCGGCGTTCACCAGGTTTGGCGGAATGGCCTGGAGCGCGGCGTCGTCACCCGGAATATAGACAATTCCCATAGGAATGTTGTAGCCATCGACTAAAGAAATATCGTAAAAAGTCTGAGAACCTCCATTTCCTGCCAGATCAAACTCTGCCAGAGTGACAGGTGTTTCTCCCTACATAAGTCAGTCATCATTCACACATTGATGTCGTAAAAGCTCACCGTGATAGCACAATCCAAGAGACCGCCACAATCTCCAGTAGTACACGCAGCACCAGAACCATCGTTTCCATTAGCATTACTAGCTCCATTTCCTCCCACCGCGAAACTGCAATTAGTACGTCCCCAAACTCTTCCTTGCCAATCGGCACTAACTGATAAAGCCTTGCTCTCCCCCGTTTGAAGAGGGAAGCCTCCTACTCCAGCACCAGTTCCTGCTTGAGTACCAATTCCAGGCCATATCGTTTCAGGACACATATTGCTAACTATTAATGGTTTTCCTCCATCTCTTTTCGTCGGAGGTCCTTTCCGAACAGGTCGGTTAGGATCCCAATTTGGCTTCCAGGCAGCTCTGTTTCGATGGTATACATGACCATCTGCTAAGGGAAGTATAGCAAGACAGAGGCCAGCAGCTAAAAGTACTAGTGATATTGAGGAAGATCTCCATAACCGATGCGATTTTCTAGAACTCATTTTGGGTTGCGCTCTATTATCTGACATTTTGAATTCCTGCTCAATCTGAGGTATTGTTCAATTCGTAAATTCGTAACTCGCTTTCACGTTTCTAATGTAGTGTATCAACACAAATTCGTAAAAAGAAAAGAAAGTACAGAAACAAACGGGAATAAGCCAAAGAAAGGTGAAAGTAGAATAAAATCAGATCGTGACGATCTATTCCTTGATATCGTATCAAGATGAACCAAGATTTCTTGGGTCCTGTTGGTTGGTTGTTTTTCGTCTGATATGGTTATTCTTCTCCGATCTGATATGGGTGAGTATGGGTTGGGGTCAAAAGCCTCCAAAACAAATCTCCTCAATGCCAATCACTCATTCCCGTCCAAACCAAGATCAAACCCCCTAAGTCAAAATCCCAATAATGAAGCAAAGTCGACCACTAGTCAAGTAAATTGCCGCTGTAGAATTACTATCTCCAGGCCAACAAGCAGGGAACCTTGAGAATATTTGGCAGTTATTCAGAGATCTGCGATTCATTCAATCCAACCAAAAGTACCCTCAGAACTCTTCCCATTCGCCAAGTATCGTAACCTTCCAAAGATGACGTAGGAACGAAGCAATCCGGACAATCGTCTCGTCTATTCGTCCACCGTAAAAGTTGAAAGATTCCTCGTCTTCGATGGCCAGCGACAAGGATAACAATCTTGATTTTCACACCTCCGTAGCTAATCCTATCCCTCAATCCCTAACCCTCAATCCCAATCCAAATCTTCTCAACCCCCAGAAACAAATCCAACCTTCACCTTCTACTCCCAAAACCCTATCAACCAATCTTATCCTATTCCGTATTTTGTCTCGTCTCGTCTTGCTTTGCCTTGCCTTGCCTAACCTAACCGTGTATATCCCGTCCTATCCCGTCCTATCCTATCCTATCCTATCTTATCCCACCTCACTCTATTTCATCTCATGCCTTATCCTACCTCCTGCCTTATCCTATACCGATCTCCACTAACAAGTTATTGACAGCGGGAGCTTGCGAGCTTGCGAGCCGGTGAACCTATAAATAAGCCTGCCCTTAGAGAAACGAGTTACCGAGCGACCCCGAAGATCCGATTTGATCTGATCCGATTCGTCCGTATATATGTGGATGTATGGATGTGTGGATGTTGTGAATGTGTGAATGAATGAATGAAGACCGTAAAACAATACGAGTAGGAAGAGAAAAGAATGTGTTGTAATGGTGTTTTGATGTTGTGATGATGTTGTGCGTAGGAATGAATAGGCAAGTAGGTAATGTAAAGAGTCTTCAATCTTACAAACAGTATCAAATAAAAGAGCGTGATGTTTCAAAAGTAAAAGAGTGTATCAAAGAATGTGTATGTATGTATGAATCCCAAGCCCAGAATCCAGAACCTAGAACCTAGAATCGACTAACTAACTAACTAACCATCCATCCATCCATCACTCAAATATTACCTACCTACCTACCTAGTTAGTATACCTACTCAAGTAAACCTAATACCTATTACCCTATTGCCTATTTGAAGTAAAGTAAGATAAGTAAGGTAAGGTAAGTACTGTACGGGTACGGTACGATGATAAAAATGATGTAGATGATCTACAGTAAGTGCGGCCGATCAACAGGCACAGGGAAGGTGCGAATTGTTAGTTGGTTGCATTGTGTTGTAAGGCTTAGCTTAGCTAGCTCAGGAAGGAAGGAAGTGGAGGAGGATATCATATCTAGATAGATAGATAGATACTTATTTATATTCACATCTCCTCTCGAGTTAATCGAGTACTATTGACTTGTGATTGGATAAATATCGATCGATTCATACCTCAATATTGTTCATATCATATCATATCATATCGTCTATACGCATCATCTATACACATATACATATAAGAATCACCAAAGCACATCTCGTCACCCTGATTCTGATTCTGAAAAATCATTCCTTTCACCGACCAAAGTAAGAAGCGAACATAGCAAATAGGTATCGACTCTCTAAACTATGGATCCATTCCTATCATTAAGATGTTGTAAAGAACCTCCATCCTATCCATCAACATACTAAAAAAAGTACTACTGATGTTGATCCAATCGAAACATTTTCATTCAGCCATCATGCAAATCACCTGCTTTAGATCTGATCACCCTCCATCAACCAACCAAGTCTTCTTCATTCCTCCATCAATCCCCCAAATTCGTCATGAAAATCATTGCAGAAATGCTTCCTGCGGTCAAATCTTAAATAGCTGCCTTTCACTCCAGCGCCCTGCATCTCAAACTGTGATGCCACTGTAAGTAACCTGATATCTGAAGAACGCTAAGCAAGTAATAAAAAAAGAAAATTCGTCACATCCAGTCCCTATTTTTTTTTTATGGTTGATGTAGAGGAAGTTTATCTGAATCTGGAAGTGCAACGACCCATAACTTCTCCTTGGCAAACGAGCTCGGCATTGAATTCTGATCCATCGAGTGTCAGATAGATATCAAAATACACACGGTAGAATGTGCCTTGAGGGGTATCCATTCGTTCAAAGTCCTTTTCAAGGTTTTTGCGCGAGAGATCAGATGTGAGAGTGACAACTTCCTTGACACCTATCAAGATGTTAGCATGAATGCGGGAATATTTCTGGTGAGAAATTAACTTACGTGGGTCCTTGGTATATTCAGGACAAACATCATCATCACAAGCATACAGAATATCCTCATACATCAAAGTTGCTCCTGGCGCAACTTGTCTGAAGAATGATACTTTGACTGGCTCACCAATCTTGACTCTTTGTCCCTTCTGTACAAATATTTGACGAGTGAACTTGCATCGATCTTTACCATCCAAGGAAGGAACGCGGTAAGCTTCTGGATGGTGTCCCTCTTTGAATGGTTGAAGAGTTGCCATGAGGTAATGACGACGAGCAACACGGGACGTGATGACTCGTTCAGTGATACCGGCAGTAACAGCACCCTTAACAATAGCAGCCACAGAGTCCATAGGACGAACAACCTTAGCCTGGAATTGAGGTGGTACATGAAGCTTGATCTGTTGGAAGAGATACTCAGATGCACCAAAACCACCGACAACCAAGACATTTTGTAGTGTTCGGTTTTGTGCTTGAATGGCGATGATTTGGTTCCGTACTAATTCCAAAATTCGGTTGACGACTGGCTCGAAACATTGTAGAATTTCTTCGTTGGTGAAAGTCATATATCCTTCTTCAATTCCTGCTTCAGGGAACTCTGCTTCGATACCGACATCGACTGCCCATTTTTGGTTGTTGTTTCTGAAATCCGCCTTGATTCTATTTTCAAAGTCCATGATACATTTCGCATAGACTCTCCCGGCCGTCTTTGAACCCTCTGGTAACTTCATCTTTCTAATCTTGGTTCGTAGGATATTGCTGAAGTTTCGGTTTAATGCAGTAGATCCACAAGAATCACCGGAACCTGCTGTACACTCAGAAACCGTAAATGGCGACTCCTCCTCAACTTCATAAGCAATTAGATCGACAGTTCCACCACCACAATCAACAATAAGTACAGCATCATGAATCTTGAGGTTCAATAGACCGGCCTTTGAGCAGAATAGTGCAGCAGCTTCGGGTTCTGTGATCAAAGTCAATCGATTGTCATTCTCATCCCTTAAGAATCCAGCCTGGATGGCAGCAGCTCTGGTCGCAGCCTTTCCGGCATCATTCCAAATAGCAGGAACGGTCAGGTAGTATCGGATATTTCTTTCTTCTCGGTTAAACACCTCTCCCAAAGTCTTTTGCAGTTGGTTCCGCATCGCCTGTCTAAGTTTGAATAGGTAGTCGGCTGCGACGTCAATTTCCGACTTTCCTGGTGGAAGGGGGGGAAGGTTGATAGGATCAATATATGTGTTTCCGGAGAGCATCAATTGAAGCTTGAACCATTCAACCTTTTGTACACCTGGCTTTGGATAACCAGTTGGTGCCAAGGCATCTGCGATATCTGGACCCCATCCAACAACTTTCTGGTATTGATCGTAGTAAAGGACAGTGGGAATCTAAAGATATTAGCATATGTCTTTGCGACCGCAGACGTTAATATTTTACCTTTTGTTTCGTATATGATCCTGCTCCAGGCCATTCGGTGATAATGTCCTCTTTTGCTTCGGTGTTGGTCGCAAAAGCAAAGGCAACCCCAGAGAAAGTGGTCCCCTGAAAGTCATGAATCAGCTCTGCGAAGCCCGAGAAATTTCACATCATGATGTACTTACAAAATCTATCCCGACAATGAGTTGAGCTTTGCTCTTCCCAGCACCTTCGACTTCGACTGCATTATTTCTGGCGCCATACTGTGCACCCCCACCACCTTGCATCGGTGCCCCTCCTGCACCATACTGAGGAGGGTGATTATATTGCGGTGGTCCAGCTGGAGGAGGAGGTCCTCCCATACCTCCTTGCTGAGGAGGATAGCCGCCGGTAGCGGCTGTGTTGATCGGAGGGGGTCCGCCCATCATCTGCGTTGGAGGAGTGCGAGGAGTTCCTTGAGCCATCGGAGATGTTGTGCGACCAACAGGTGTGTATTGATTAGAGTAGCTAGGCGGTCTTACGCCAGTACCTCCAGTATGATTCATAGGTAAACTTGCTGTAGAGGAAGAAGCCGTTTGTGTGAGAAGTGTAGGTTGTCCGGGTAATTGAGCGAGTTGTGGTGATGAGGAAGTAGAAGTGGGGTTTTGCGGGATGGTGGTTGAGATATTGTTTGCACTCGATTTACGTTTGGAACCGAACCCAAGGCTTTTGAAGCGGGCGTTCATAGAACTCATATGGTCTACGAAGGGTGGTACTTCAAATCTTCTGAAAGAAGTAAAATGGAAGAAAGCTAAGGACGGAGGGACGATCGTAATCGATGCGATGCGATGAAATGCAGTCGCCGGTGTCAGCCAACCTACAGTATTGCCTTGTCGCTAGTTTCCTAGCGACCTGGAGGGGAGGGAGGGGCTGAGTAGATAGAGCTTCTTTGACCTGGGTCGGAAGGATTTCTCGTCCAAAGTTTTGTACTGTACGGGTGACATGAAATCTGCAGGAACAGGATTAATATAATTATTGAGGACTAATGGAGTTATGTGTATGAATGTATGTGTATGAGTTGAGTATGTATCCGTATGTGATAATTTAGATGAATATTTTGCAGATAAGATAGCAGCAAACAATGAATTCTTTGATTGAAGAAGTTGGGTATTGGGCACTGCGTATTGGATATTGGATATTGGATATTGGATATTGGGTATTTGGTCTTTGGTCTTTGGATTATTTGGGTATGTGGTATTTGGTATTGTATTGTATCCGTAGAGGGAAGGTTGGAGTATGAGTGAGTAGAAGAAGATTTAATGGGTTAGTTGATGGGTTGGTTGGTTGATAGGTGATAAATAGTGAATGTTCCGCTGAATAGCATGCTGACAGCAGCGATTTTATGCGGGTTCAGGCTCGCTTTGTTCTTTATGTCTTGTCTCTACACAAGTTGTTGCAAGATAAAAAGTAACCCAAAAAAAGGGGGCAGTCACATAAAACAGTTGAAACTTTCGGTCAACCCGAAGTTATACATATTCTTTCCAGAACAGAAGGATTATATTCAAAAAAAAATAAGCTTTGAAAGGCATCCCCAGAAGAGACGTTCGTTGGTTTTCAAATGTGTGTGGATGCGGCGGAAAAGATATTGACATTTTCTGAAGGGGTCTCTTTTTGGTTGTACAGGTAAATCTTCTTCACCGGTGGGCTTCATGAAGGAAAGAAATAATATAAATACTCAGCCTCAATATATCAAAGAATTATTACTTGAGCCTTAAGCATACGGACTACAGAGAGAGAGAGAGAGAGAGAGAGAGAGAGACAGCCTCAAGTCCTATTCTAAAAAAAACCCAATCATTATGGAATTGAAAAGTCCAATTCTGCCTTGGGAAGATTAATTCCAAGACTTCATTTTATTCTATTCCTTCATCATCACTCACCCAAAGATCAAATGTAAGAGAGAGAGAGAGCATTGCGATTTCCTTGTAAGTACAAGTATATAGGACTTCTCAACCCTTCTTATTATCATGATTATTTTCCAGTTTTTATTTAAGCCTTACAGTTTTTGATACATTGTGGTCAGTTCAGTTTACGAGACACTTCTTTGTACCTACTCAGTAGATTCTAGACCCAAGGTGTTTGTTTGTTGGCTTTCCGCCCCCAATCCCATATGCTTTCTTTTGGTTACTGTTCATCAATATCCCAATATGATTGGTCTACGAGGATGAGGACTCAAGGAGATACTATATCTATCAAACCCATAATGATTTACACACAACAAGAAAGTTCTGAAGCATCAAGTAAGTGACTCTGTGTGTATTCTCCTATTCCAAACTTCCAAAATTTCCAGACTTCCAAAACCAAAACCTCGGTATGGGAGGGAATCTTTCTAATACGTTCCGAATCTTACATGTTGAGTCTGCTATTGGCAATGATACGAGTTCACCAGTGTGTTGTGTTGTAAGAACCCAAACAACCGACAGACAACGAGCGAGCATAAGAAGTGGAATCATCGACACGTGAGATAAGCACTAATTAGAAAGAAGTACGAGCTGGCAAAGGAGATGATGACCAGTGGAATTGACACCGAAAAGAATGGCGATTTTTGATAAACTGAATTGGCTACGGGTAATCATGCAAGATTTCCCCTTCCCTTATTGTCGGTATCGTATCGTATCGTATGGAGTCACTTGAAATATCCTATTAATCCATCCCGACCCCCTCGAAAATCGGCTACGTGGAGCGGCGCAATCATTTCCAAAGGGGTTTCGAAAGAAGAAGAGGATTTTCGGCATTATCGTATCCGTCCAAGAAGTCGAATAAGAAGCATACAGTACCATACTGCACTTTTGCAACAAAGAAAGAGAAAGGCCATTTACGGCTTATATTCATGATGCAATGTGAAGATTTTGATATATTTTCGGCAGAATACTAATGAGTTGTATCTTTGAGAGGATGGGATGGGATAGAATAGGAAGGGATGGGATGTAGTACAAAATCACATCGGACACGAACGGGAAGGAAATATTTCCCATCCCACCCATAACTTTAACGGGATCAGAAATTCGAATCGATTTGGTACCGGTACTGTAATGTGCACGAGACAAGATTAATATTGATACCCAGTCTAACTACCTAGATACGGCAACATTGCCAATCCATATAACTAATATATATCGATGAATGAGTTAGAACATGTATATGTTACTTGTACAGCAGAACTGAAACATGAATAGTCACCCCTCACTTGTATTGATATTGGTGGTTTAAAAGGAAGGAAATCAAAATAGTGAAGACAGTTATACTTTGAAAAAAACATCCTAATATATCCGAAAGTCTCGTCTCTGATATACAAAAAAAAAAAGTGTATCAATCAAGCGTCCTTTCCCACATTCGATCCTCAGCTTTGATCTCTCCATACTTTTAAATTACCGGTACCGACTACTCGAGTATTGCATATGTATTACGACGTCACGATACTTTCCAACGATTCAACGAAATCTCATCTTTTTCTTTCCTTTCTCCACAAATTGAGTAACGACGGACGTCGAAGCTAGATTCTATTATATTCTCACCGAAGTCTTAGAGATTTCAGATTTCATTGATTATTCATTCAGTTGTATTGTATCCATTATAACTACCTATCCTCGGGGTTTCAGACGAGAGCAACGAGAGGCCGAAAACGAAAAGGAGAATGAAACTTTCATTATCACATATTTAATACTGTACTCGAAGTACTCAGTACTCGGAATAATTATCCTCTTCGCCAGATCATTGTAAGACTTACCTTCTTTCAAGTTCAACAGATATCTGTATAAGTCCATACCTATAGATACCTTTATTACCGAATAGAGCACACAATCAAATTAATAGATCAATACATACAGTATACCATGCCACAAAACCAAATACCATACATATATCGGATTTGACTTTTGATACATCGAATACCGATACTTCTACCGGTAGTTTCTCCTCTCGATTATACTCGATGCTATACGAATCTATGACCATTCATGAATTGAGATTGAGAACTCTGACTTTCATCCTTTGATGCTTTTTACGTACCTACCTATACAAACAACTGCATCATCATCTATCTTCTCGACAAGTATTTTCCCTTTCATCCTTTATTCCTTGTCCTTGGAGGGAATAAGACGGCCCTTTTTGGAAGAGGACCTTACTTAATTCAACCAATCAGAAAAGATAGATTCTCAATATAAGTGGAGAAATCTTGGGTCCCGATAACTCCAAACTCTGCCCCTCCAACTTTCCCGCCCTTTTGCCTTGGGATTCATTGAGAGGAAAGGAATTGCCCCGCCTTTCGCCAAGTTGGCCATAAACTCCCCCATCCTAACCAAAATTACGTCCTCAATTGGAAAGGGCGACCCGCCCGCCAACTTCAATTCTAGAAAGAAGAAGATTCCTTCAATTTCTGAATTATATCATCATTCTTCTTCTTCTGCTTCTGCCTCTGCCTCTATATCGAACTCTCCTTTATCAATACCTACACAATCAACACAATCAATACCAATCTTTAACGAATCCAACCTATTCAAACCTCACAAAGTATCGAGACCGAATCCGATCAGCCTCGTCCATTTAGCCTCTGTTACCTTCTTGGTTGTTGTCTTGGTAACTGATCACAAGCCACTATTGTATTATGTGGGTTGTTACTGATAATCCTTTGTATATAGATTGTTCAATTCTTATTCACTGATCCCGCTCCTCTTTATTCGAGATCACCTCAACCATATTCACCAACATCATACTCTCCTCGAGCCCACGTCTTAGATCAAGGCACCTGCGAATCCCCACATCCATTTCCTACAGAAGCACCAGTATCAAGACCACACAAGATGTCTTTATTAGCAGAAGCAAAGCGCGTTGCCACTGAGTTTGAATACACAGATGAGGATGTGCGAAGGGGTGTTACCGAATTCATCGCGGAGATGAGTATGTTTGTCTGCCAACCGACTAATGGCATGGAACTAATGTTTGCGTAGATGAGGGGTTGAAGAAGAATGCAACAAACATGAGCCAGATTCCTACATATGTTACTGGAGTTCCTAATGGCACAGAAAAGGTCGGGGAAAAGACTCGCATTTTTATGCACAAAGCTGATGAATCATAGGGACTATACCTAGCGGTTGATCTTGGAGGAACCAATTTCCGAGTTTGCTCGATTCAATTATACGGAGATACCACATTCAGTCTCACACAATCGAAGGTTGCGATACCGCGAGAGCTGATGCTGGCTAAGACCGCATCGGACCTCTTTTCATTTTTGGCGAAACAAATCGAACTCTTCCTCAGAACCCATCATGAAGACCATTTCGAGGCCCACATCAGACGTCGCAATACTGTCAGTACACCAGAAGGATTCAGGGATGAACACATCTTCAGACTTGGGTTCACATTCAGTTTCCCAGTTCATCAGATTGGTATCAACAGAGGAACCTTGATTAGATGGACGAAAGGATTTGATATTGCGGATGCGATCGGACAAGATGTATGCGAATTGTTACAAAAGGAGATTGATAAATTACATCTACCAGTGAAGGTGGCTGCCCTTGTAAACGATACAGTTGGTACACTGATGGCAAGAGCATATACTTCTCCTGGCAAGACTCAAACCTTACTTGGGGCTATCTTCGGTACTGGCACCAATGGTGCTTATGTCGAAAAGCTCGATAAATTGACCAAGCCCATGGAAGGAGACTTTGATAAGACAACTGGTGAAATGGTTGTCAACACAGAATGGGGTTCTTTTGACAATGGTCTCAAAGTTTTGCCAAATACCATTTATGACCAAATTCTCGACAAGGACAGTGTCAATCCTGGCATTCAAATGTTCGAAAAGAGAGTTTCTGGTATGTTCTTGGGCGAAATCCTGAGAACTGTTCTTGTCCAAATGATAAAGGACCCCACCATCCATCTTTTCCAAGACGACACTTCTGCAGATAACGATTACCGCTCAACAACTACCATCGATGAAACCGCTCCTCTTTACCAGCAATGGGCAGTCGATAGTTCCATCCTCTCAATTGCCGAAGCTGACAATTCCGTCGGTCTTCGTGCTCTTCGTCAAGAACTTGAGAAATCGCTTGGTGTCTCCGCTGCTTCGTTAGAAGACGCCCAAACTGTCAAGGAAATTGCTCACGCTATCGGCAAGCGTGCAGCTCGCTTAGCTGCTGTAGCAATTGGAGGCATTGTTCTCCAAACCGGCCGTCTCGATATCAAATCTGCTGCTCCCGGACCAAAATCAACAGCCTCCATTATTCAAGACGTCAAGAATCTGAAGATTGCCGACGCAGCATCAGCTACTGCCAACAAGCTAGCAGATGCAGCAGGCTTGGCAGTCAACGAGGAAGATGTTGTCGATATTGGTGTAGACGGTTCTCTTGTGGAATATTACCCAGGATTTGAAGATCACATAAGAGAAGCTTTGAGAGCCATGGATGGTATTGGAGCTGTTGGGGAGAGAAGAATTAGAATCGGTATTGCCAAGGATGGATCTGGAGTTGGAGCCGCATTGATTGCGCTTGTAGCAGCGAAAATGGAGAAGCAACAGAATTATTTGGGAGAATTGAGGAGGAAGCTGGGTGCTGTTGGGGAGGAAGCTGCAATTGAAGAGTAATGGATGTATGATTTGATATGAAATAATTGATGATTGGATGTTTGGTTGTCTACGTAGGGGGTGGGGAGACTCAGTGAGAGGTGGGATGGATGATGGGATGGAATGGGTAGATGGGTTAGGCGGTTTTGATTGCATAAATATTTTGGGGTGGCTACAAGTACTTTGGCTCAAAGTATAGTACTAGGGATGGGTAGGAATCTAGGAGATCAAATGGGAATAAGATTTTGAATTTTTTGTAAACACCATTGCTGGCTCCTGTTGTGATCTAATGACCTAGTGAGTTTGTTTTCTAATATGTCTATATCGTTCTTGCAAAACTTTACCTTTTTTTCTTTTTTTTTCTCCAAATTATACACAAGAATAGTGTACTCGTACAAATAATATTATAATATTAGTAGTGTATTTATTACTGAGTTCTTAGATAGTTCTAGGGTGGAATTGATGTTTATTAATTAGTGTGTTTGGGGTTATTGGGGCGAGTTGCTCGTAGGATGAGATGTGATGGGATGGGATAGAATAGAATAACTCACTATAATAAATCTAGCTACCTAGTAGCTACCTAGTATATATATATAGACAAAAATCCTCAACTCGATCGAAATACTACGTACGTACCCACCCATAACAAAACTAAACTCGAGACAGAGCCTGCTAGTGGAGGGAGGGGAAATTGAGTATTTATATCATAAGTTATAAGGTATGAGGTTACTCGTATAAGGTTACTACTTGGGTAGAGTAGAGTAGAGTAGAGTAGAGTATTAATTATAATATGTATTTTAGTATCTTTTGAGAGGTGAGAGAGGAGAGGTAAGAGAGGAGAGAGGAGAGAGGAGAGAGGAGAGAGTTTTTGGGAGAGAGAGAAGAGAGGGGTGAGAGAGGTGAGAGAAGAGAAGTGAGAGAGGTGAGAGAGGTGGGAAGTGAGAGGAGAGAGAGGTGGGAGGTGAGAGAAGGTGAGAGAAGGTGAGAGAAGGTGAGAGAGGTGGGAGAGTTTGTGGGATTCTGACGGTAAGGATTGATTGGTTGATTGGATGTATGGTTAGTTAGTTGTGAGTTGGAATGAGAGGTTGAAGGAGTATATGCATACGTATTTTGACCCGAAGCATGAGAAAGCTTTTTAGTATTTAGAATATTGAGATATACACTCTAGAGCTTTATGTAATGTTGAAAGTCTATATATATATAGCTGCGAGTCAATTTCTATCTAACCCCCAAACTCCTTACTACTATACCAGCAGTTACGCCAACCATCAATCATCAATAATCAATCATCCATATGCAACCTCGCAAACAAACTCCTCGCCCTCAACCTCACCCCATACCTCTCCAACACAAACGGAATCGGCAGCAACAACAGCGCCCCACAAGCCAAAATCGTTCCCGCCCAATTATATCCCACACGCAAAAACAACTGCGTCCCAAACAGTGGGAATCCTGCCCCAGCCACATTACGCATTAAACCCACGCCAGCCAGTGCACTAGCCGAAAATACCATGTAGCTATCCTCGACATATAGATATGTCATTAGGATGAGCGTGTAGAAGGCATATCCAAAGAGAGTGGTGGATAGGATGGGCACGAGAAAATGTATGTGGTATTGGGGAGGTGAGGTCCAGGCGAATGTGAAGAGACTGAGGGGGAGGAGTAGCGCGGCGGCTTTGCTGAGTTGGAGGCGTGCTTCGGGGATGTTTTTGAAGCGGGGGGTTGGTGGGGGTGGGGAGTGCTGGGGAGGAGGAGGAGGAGGATAGAGATGCGGTGGCGCGAATGCGCGTTTGGTAGTGCTGTTCTTGCCATATGTTGATGATGGGTCCGAGGGTAATGCCGATGATGAGGCCGAGGAAACAAAGTCCTACGCCGATGGTATCGAAGCCATAGCCCATCTTGCCAAAGACGAGATTAAATGCACTGTTGAAGAGAAAGGAGAGGCCATAAAGAAAAGCATTATACAGCGCTGCGAAAATGATAACGGGCTCGGTTACCAGAAAGCGGAAGGGTCGAGAGAGAGTGCTTTGGAAAAGTTGACCTAGCGATTTACTCTGCATTTCCGTGGGTACCGTGGCGATGATCCTTCCTGCAGCTTTATTCGCCCGCGCTGCACGTCGTCGTAGAATTACGGAATGTCTGGTCTCGTTCTGAAAACCTACCAGCACCACAACGAGAATGATCCAGAACCCCCCACAGATTCCTAGGAGAGCCCAGAAAACTTCCCGCCATCCACGTGTTTGCGCAACAAACGACATGAGAAAATATCCCGAAGGACTCCCACACACCGCGGCCCAAAGGAATATACTCATCGCCGGCCCAATCTGATCTCTCGGCCACAGATCTGCTATCGTACCGCCAAAATTGGCAATAGTGACGCTAGCAAAGAGACCAGACAGAAATCTCAACACAAGAAACCCCTCAATATTCTGCACAAGTGCAGTCCCAAGGAGAAACAATAGGAATATTCCATAAGGAATCACATACAAATACGTGCGTCCATAATATTCAGATAGAGGTGCCAAAGTCATAGGACCAAGTGCAAGCCCGAGGACATAGAGCGAGAGACCCAATACACCGATTTCGGACCCGACGTGGAATGTCGAGGTTAGTTTTTCTTGCGCAGGTGAGTAGCCGGATGCGCACCAGGAGACGGTTAGGTCGATTAGTGTGATGCTGGTTACAATGGTCCATTTTCTAACGGAGGAAAAGTTTCGTGGGTCGGAGGGGTCGGAGGGGAGAAAGGTGTGGGTTTCGAGTGAGGTGGTGTTGGGTCTTGTTGGGGGGAGGGGTTGCGATGTCCATGTTGATGTTGCTTCCGTTGGGTTCATGGTTGGTTGTGTTGATATGTATGTACGGGTACTCTATGTATCAAAATGTAGATGTAGATGTAGATGTATAGTGGTTAAATCATAAAGGTAGGATCCCATCTAAGATATAAACATTCAACTACTCTACTCGTAGAATGAACATTCATTTTGTTTTATATGAAGTTGATGTTGATGATGATGTTGATGAATGATAGATAAACGTTACATAGATGCTTATCGCTATGATTGGAGATCGGAGCGATCACGAATATCATATACCGAATGAGGGGTAGGTGGTGTATATCTATCTTATTTCTGTAGAATACTTTGCCGCGTTTGAAACTAATGTATAAAGAAGTTGTACCTAGTATATACCGGTATGTATCGGGAAAGAGTTCTATGAGAATTATTTCGGGAATTCTACTGTAAAGGTCGGAGCGATACCTTTGAATAAGAAGGTACGAGAAAAGAAAGCGCACCTGTTGGGAGTGATGTGTTTATTAGTGGTATTTATTCTTAGTTGTTCTAAGTTTACTCGAGTATAATTGATTGTATTGATGATTGGTTTTCGATATCAAATAATAAATACCTATGCTCGCTTCTTCAATGAGGAGTAATTGTTTGATGAAGGGGTAGTAAAGGCGTATTTCTTTAACATCAAAGAAACCAGGGTACTGGTAATCATCTTGTAGTTTACTTTCATCATGTAATATATGATCGTATAGCATATGCTAGTGTATTGGAGTTGCATACTTTCTGATACTACGAGTAGTTCATCCATTCATAAAACCTACAGAACAGTAGCAAGTGTTAGTTTCCCGATCAAAGGTTGCGATACATTGAGGCAGTGGAACAGCAAGAACGCGGCAAATGGAACACTAGCATTGATTAGCAGCGATTGCTAACGAGTCTCTACCGGATGTTCTTATATAATAGCAAATAGATATACATTGAGCTATAGGTGCAAGCTCTAATATGTTTATTAGCTAGAGTAACGTTTGATCAGGATATAATGGATTGATTTTATACATTAAACAGAAAAAGAAAGAAGATCAAATATCTATTACAGATGCTTCTTTTAGACCTTTGAACATCTTATAGCAGCCATCATTATTATTGAACCCCTGAATTGACATCGATGTCGACTTACCGGTAACCCTCCGAACTTATATGGAGTAACCGTTATATTTCTGGGATAATCCATGTTGATGATTTCCGCCGAAGTCGCCAATCTAATCCACAGAACATCACTTCGCAAAGTAGTTTAAATAAGCCATGAGTCGGTTCTCTGGTAGCATTCAACTTGCATTGATCAATTCTATACTACGATCGGGTTCAAAGTATGAGTAATAAAAGCCGACAACCACCAGGCCTGTCCGAGCCTTACGGTTACCCTTCCGTTCCCACTCCCACTTCTAGCGCCTCAGAATTCCAAGGTCCAGTCCAACAAGATATCATTAACACGACTGAGCAATGGACCTATGATACTGCCTACAACGATTCAAACTTTGGATACATGGCTCCATTATCAGAGAGTAATCTGGGAAGTCAATATGAATCCGACACATCGAGAGCATCTCGTGATCCTAATAGTTTAGAACGATCCTCTGTGACAGGAGAATCTTTACTTGATTTACTGGATGGTTCACATACTCTTGACAAAGCTGCACACATATTTCCAAAGCCGAATCCCAAGCAGCTACCAGAAGCTCTCAAATACTTGGCTCCAGTACCTGTACAAATAAATGTTTCTCATCAATTTGACAATACACAATCGAGGCTCGCTCAGCAACATATACCTTATGAAATGCTACCTCTACGACAAATTCCCCAAGATTCTCACCATTCCCATCAACAAGTTCAACATGCACAGTCAGTATCTCGTCTTCAAGTGGAAAGATGCTGGCTAACCTTCGTCTTGTAGATCAATTCCCTATCAGCCTTCTGCAACAAATCCCACTACTCTTGCAGATATAATTAACCCATTCATATATGGTGATGTCGATATATTTTCGCAACCATTGGAAATATCAATAGGTCCTGTGCCGCCGGCTTCATTTTTCAAAGGAAAGCGGAAACAGTCTTTCAGTCCTTCTCCATCTCCGGAGCCTTACTTGTCACGTCCAAGAATGACCGTAAAAGCCAAACGACGACGTGAACGCAGTCCTTCTCCTTCCTCACACTCTCCATATGACTCCGAATGGTGGGAAAGTGATGCTTCGCTTTGTTGGAGATGCCGGAAACGCAATGCCAATGTAAATCGTGTCTTTCTTTTGCCATCGCCCACTTGTCCGTAGGGGATAATCTCTCATGATGAACACCAACTGACATTACTACGCTACAGCACTTGATATCAGGATTTTGTGATTCTTGCATCCGAGTATCAAACTTCAATGTCTCCCCAAGTACTCAAGGAACGAGAACAGAAAATCTAGAAAGCTTGGTTTTATATCTTCTTCCATGTTTGGCTTTCTCTCCACACATTTTAATACATGCATCTAATCAAGTTTTAGCACATATGGAAGAAAACCTTCGCGCCATTCCTCGGAATACACTAAAGAACAAAACCTGGCGAATGTTTTCGGCTGAGAGGGCTGAAAAAGCTTTCGATCACGATTTTGACAATGTCGTCTTTAGAGATCATTTCATATTGGCACAGGAGCAAGCTCGTTCAACCGGTGTTTTTGATGAAAAATACTCGGATCTAATGATTATAGCTCAAACATACCAAGAATCTAATCTCGAACCTGTGAGTACATGCTTTTGATCATACAGGACTCCATCTAGGAATATACTTTCTAACATCAAATTCATATAGAACAAATCGCTTGAAGCTTCTTGCAGAATCCTCATCGAATGCTGCGAATTGTATAAATGCTTCATCACAACCACGATGCCTCCGCCCCCAATTCCGGTCCTCAGCCTTCTCGAAAAGATTCGCACCACGCGCAGCACAATGCGAAGAGCCTTCAAGGAATACCAAGCACTTGCGCTCGCCCCCTCTGACTTTCGCTCTCGTCGCGACTGGCTCCCTTCGTTTCTTTCCGCATGTTCACTTGCAATATCGGCAGTCGTGTTTATAGATATGATGATAGCGATTCCATCACCTTATAAAGAGAGGATATGGGGTGTGAACTGGCACGAGAGGATAACTGGAATCAGACATGGAGGATATGGAATGATGCTCGAGGTTCTTCGAGCGAACACGAAGAATGTCAATCCACTGGATTTAAGTTGTTGGAATCAAGATTTCGTAATGGACACAAACTTTCAGATATTGAATAACAACACCCACAATACTTTCGCCGGGGATCAATTCACAAACTCGCAATACAGCACTGGCTACACACTCGATCCTTCTCACGACCCACCAATTTTCTACGGACTCGCAACCCCAACCCAAGACTTTACTCAAGATATCCTATACCCAAACATGAATTACGATGCAACATATTATAATAACTGGCCACAGATGCAAATCCAAATGCAACAACAACTCAAAGCGGAAGAAGAAAGAAGGATATTGTTAGGGAATAATTCACCCGAAGCATTGCAAGGAATGATGGCGGTGAAAGAATGGCAGATGAAAAATTATGAACATTTGAAGTTGGGTGAGGATATTTTTAAAAAGGATTTGTATCGGCAGGCGACTATTAATCCGATTGCGGGTTTGTGGAGGATTTTTGATATGAAGTGAGGTAGGTGGTGGGGGAGGGGGTATGGTTTTTGGATAGGGTGGGAGGAGGAAAGAAGGAAGGAAGGAGGGAGTGATATGTGAGATGTATGGACTTGATGGCGCAGTTATTGCAGAATGGATATTTAGAAGGATGGGATAAGGTTGCAGACGGGTTGGATTTCTTCTTTAATCATTTACTTGTCCATTTATTCATCCACTCACGCTTCTCTGCACGCCAAAGGGGTATTTTATAATTTTTACGGTTCATCGTGATTTTCATATACCACACCAGATGTTCAAATCAAACTCTAAACTTCTACTCGAGTATATTACTGATATATATTTTACTTGCTATTAGTGTGTGGGTATAGGTAAAGAGTAGAGTAGAGTAGAGTAGAGTAGAGTAGAGTAGAGGAGACTGGGTCGTGGTACACGAGATATGATATGGTATAGATATTACAACACCACTGAAATCAAATATCCCAAGTAGAATAGAATAGCATAGCAGTGCCCGATTTTGCAATATCGTTTGATAGGATAGATATTCGTTGTTGGATCTTGATAATTAGATAGTAGGTACTACTAGGTAGGTATTCAAATTAGCTTTTTAGTTATGTTCTTGCTGTGATTATGAGTTATTGGTATAGAAGTCCCAAGTGAAGTGACTTTTTTGGTTTTACTTGAGTAGAGTAGTACGGATGGTATGGTAGTTTTGTTGATTTCGAATCTATGGATTGGATTGGATTGGATGGGATGGGATAGGATGGGATAGATGAGGATAGGATAGAATGTTAGTACCTAGATTTTATGGGTGTGAGTTTTCCGATTGATATACATACATTTGAGTAGATTTTGTATGTCGATAATGTTTGGGGTTATGTTAGATTACTTCATTGAGATTTTCTGTGGTGGCTTGCTTGATTGGGGATATGATATTACCAGTAGTGCTTGATGTAAATATTGTGTACCCATTGGTGGTACTGTAGTTGTTGAGTGAAATATTTATACAATCCTGATTGATTTTGGTGAGATAAGAATCAATTGTACGAGTACGGAGATATCTTTCAGCTGAAGGGCGGTGGAAGAGGTTGTTGTTATGGTGGTGGGGTCGTCCGTACCCCACCAGCCAGCCCACCACACTAAAAGATAGACTATATATATCTCAAAAAACCGCATCTATCATAACAAATCAACAATCTTTGATGGTCTAACGGTCATGATTTCCGCTTGTCATTGCTTCAACAATACAAATCGCGGGAGACCGGGGTTCGACTCCCCGTCAGAGAGTTCTACCAGATTATTCCTGGAATCCACTGTTCGATATTCTTTTTTCTTTTGCTATTATTTCGGATTGCATTTGTTAAGTTCGAATCGAGTGTTTCGTGGAGGGGCCACATCGATGTGTTAAAAATGGGGCTAGACTTTTTGGCGGCCCATTTACTTGTGCACCGATAGAGAGAGGTGATTTGTCATCAGACTCATAATGATAAATAACCTCACACCCACAAGTTCAAGTCCTTTTATTTCCATCTCAGAAAAAAGCAAAGTCTGGGAATATCTTACTATTTTTTCTTCCATCCGTTCATATCATCAGATAAGGATCGGACTACAACCTCTGACCCACCAGGTACCGGTATTTAGGTAGCTAGCGTACTGCACTCGCTTCCGAGGAGTTTCACGTGACTCACAATAGTTTTGTTGCATATCTCAAGTTTGTTTGTGTATTTCTTCCCTCACTTCCCCCGATGATATCCCGACATTGACAACCAATGAAAGGTTCCGTTTGGTAATTTCACGTGCAGTTTTATTGCTTGAGGCTGGTTTGTTGCATATCGCAGAAATGGAAAGTGTTTGACTCCCCTTCAGCAGAGAACCAAAAAAGTTCCTCATATTGATTTTTATTTGCTGCTTTACTGACATTTTTCTAGGTTGATATGAAGATATCTCCAAGCAAGATTAATTAGTAGGATTGAAACGTCCGAAATTTCCAGCTTTTATTTTACGAAATAAATATCATTTTCTCAGCAATTATCTTATCTTTGAAAAGAACCACGTCGTTGAAAGAGATCTATTCAATTAATGTTCTGTTCAAGTGCACGCACTTCTTTGGACGGACGCACTTGACGATACGACGATACAGCCTGGTTGCATCAGGGTCGGCGTTTAAAGCCTCATTTAAAGCTTCAAAATGGTCGAGTTTATCAGCAATACTTGGTGGGGTTTATTACTGTAGAACGATGTATCGCAATAATGCTTGCAAGCAATTATATGGCAGCTGGTACTTATTGTCTCCGGTAAATTCGAAAGAAGGTTGATAAAACGACTCCATGACAGTTATTTCAGATGTGCTGTCTTTTTTGATTCCTGGTCTTCTCATTGATATAATTATGTCCTTCCCCCATGAATCTTTTCAAATCGCTGGTACTCTGAAAGAAGTTCATTTGTTATACTCGAGTAATCACTACCTTCTTAGGCCCCGACTCGCTCTCTGGCTTACTTGAAATAGATTTGTCCATGTCAGCAAAATAGCGAAGAGAGTTGGTGAGTGATATGATATATCAAGCTGTGATTTTGAAGACGAATCTCACTGGCTGTACTGTCAAAGCTTTGGTGAAATAATTCTGAATCTGAATCTTAATGGGGCAAAGCGAGATACTGTCCAATATATACTGTAGCATATCCGACAATCTCACCATATCCTCGAACATCCTCTGGATATGATACCCCATGAATATTCTGTATGATTTGCATTACAAGTCAGTTGCAATTGCAGACTTCAAATTGAAATAGTCGCTCTTGTTGGAGATATCTTCACTAAGTAAGTGTCTTCGTAATAAACTCGATTGTGCATTATTGCGGTCTCCATACAGGCTTAGAAGTTGTATTGAGGAAAGAGAAGAAAGTGGATGAGTAGCTAGTGTTGGGAGCGCATTGCTACCAACCAGCCTGAAATTCAAGATACTAGTACCCATACCGGTTATAATAGATCAGAAATTTGGAAAGAATGATGCAGGAGACCTGGAAACTGTGGAGGAACAGTTTGCAATGGTATGGTCAGATGAACTTGGTTTAAGGCTTTGATTTCCCGAGTCTGTTGCTATGTTCCAAGATTTGTGTTACTTGTTATATATAATGGAAGGTGCAGATCGCTATTAAAGTTTATGTACCGGTATGTTCATAATCCTTTTGTTCTTGTGTTATCTCCTCTTACTTGATGTTTTTACTGCGGTCTTGACGTAGGTAGCTCGTCTTGTCAGAATCCCTCTGGCTTGTAATATAAATCTTCCCAATGTCAGTGCTGCGACAGTCCAACATATACGAATGTGTTGTGATGGGTAATGCTTGTTTGGCAGTAGTTCTGTTACTGTAATTACTAGCAAGAATTAGAATGCCAGAGTTTATGAAACAAAAGTATTGCAATGGAGAGAGAAAGAAGAAGAAGAGGAAACTTAACATCATGTACAATAACCCATGTAGTTCGCTCTCAGGGCTGCCAGTTTATCGTTCGTACGTATATAGTGATTAGTTTGCGGAGTGATTGATTGGGCTTCATGAATATTGTCTCGTAACTTTCATTTTGTTATTCACCAAATTATGATACCCATCGCCTATACAAGTCGATTCTTGCGAGCAAGGCAGTGATTCTCTGTATTGCTTGGTATACTTTACTGGAGACTCGAAAGCTTTGAGTAGATAAGACTGCATTATCTGTTATACTATACTTGGACAGTGAGGTCTGTACAGTAGTAGAAAATGGATTGGATTGGATGCTATGAAGATGTTGTACCAGTAAGTATGAGGCGATGTTCCTAGCCGGACTACTTGTACAGTCTAATAAAAAAAATTGGTTTCATAATTGTTGGATCCGATTGAAATGTGAAATAGTAAGTCTACACGAGTATACAATCATTTCATACCATCTCGAGAAACCCCATCTAGGTCTTACATTCATCCCACCATCAAGCCAAACAAGCACTCTGTTGCGTCTGACAATCACCCATATCAAACCCACTAGCGGCCCCACGATTAAAAGCATCCGCACATGCATTGAATTGAATATCGCAACTTCGTTGTGAAGCGGCCGCTTCGTTGACAAAAGTGTCACCATTGACTAAGAAAGGACGGGCCGAATCTCCGCTCTTGGTAACGGGTAGTGCGGGTAGGCCACCGAGTGCTGAAGATGAAGAGGAGGAGCTAGAGGAAGAGCTAGAGGAAGAGCTAGAGGACTTGGAAGTGGAAGCGGCTGCCGCTGCGCTACTGGTAGTCGCCGAGTTGCTGGCTGATTTGGAAGCACTGGATGCGCTTGTCGTGCTTGTGGAAGAGCTACTGGCTGAATTTTTGTTGTCCGGGCCCGCTGAGACGGCGCTGGCTGCGAGAGCTGCTGCGGCTTTTCCACCTGATCCTATGTTTTGTTAGCCTTGCTTCTTATGTTCACGTCGAGAAAATGATAGGATGATGTAAACTTACCATTGTTAGATGCAGCGTTTGCAGTTTTGCCAGACCCAACAACGGTGAATTTGGTACAATCATCTGCAGTTCCTCGCTGGGCAACAGGCATTACGGCTGGTTGATGATTGGTTGCCGATGCCATAGTGCATACGCGATAGTTGCCAGCAGGTAAGCCACCTTTGACAGTAGCGGTGAGAAGTCCCTTTCCGTTTCCAACATCGTTTATACCCTTGAAGAAGGCGAATTGGGTAGCATCTAAAGCTTTGGTTGGATTGAGACTGGAACCCATGTCTTGAACGGTTATGTGTGTATGACCTATGACTACCTACATATGAGAGTCAGTAATTGCCTACTAGGAGAAAGATGCAGAATATGGGATATTCGTATAGAGTTTGGATATTGGGGAGTGCAAGATGAGATAACCTACCCCGGATGCGTCAAGCTGCTGTGGAGCGGCGAAGTAGGTAGAAGCAGCGTTAGAGAAGAAACCTGGAGTGATGTTGGACATTTGAACGGTGATATCGAATGATTTATCGGATTGGACCGTCGCGCTACCAGCCAAAGGGAAGGTGATGATCGAAGACATCATTTTGGTTTTGGCGGGGATTTGACCCATTGCTAATGGTATGAGAGGATACTTCGTTAGAGGGATAGAAGAACTTACGAATTCCATTGCATGAACCAGTCACAACCTGAAGACCATTGGTCAGGGTCTCTCCTGCACAGAAGTTGATGAAGTTGTTTTTCGACGTGGCAGAAGCAGCTTGGGATGCCTCGTTACCACCGATTTCCTTGAGCCCATCACTGAATGATCCGCTTGCGATGGCATTTTTTGACAGAGTAAGACTGGTGTCGTCGCCAGTGGCTTTCGTAGCACGTTCATGAATATCCATGAGTTCTCTTGCATTGCGAGCCTCAACTATGCCAGTTGAAGCAAGGAGGGCGAGAGTGATAGATTGAAACAACATTATGGGTTTTATGATCGTAGGTATGGTTCGTATGTTTCGTAATGTAAGGATATAAAGTATAAATCGAAAAGTATGTATGTAAAAGCGACAGTCGTGTAAGTTTAGATGGAAAGAATGGATAAAGTGCTATCAAAGCATAAAATGAATGTTAAACAGAAAAGAACAAATGCGCACAAAAAGAATGTAGTTTGAACAATTGACAATTAGAATCGGCGAGGAAGATAGAAGTTATACTTGGCGGCATCACCATCATTCATATATGTTTTCTCCCTGGATACTTTTGAATACCAAGTTCGTGCCGTGAACCGATAATGGATGGTAAGCCAACTCAAATTTAACATTATCCATTTGTTTGATTCGCTATTAACAGTTGTAAGCCCCCGATTGAACTTGTATCAGCCTCTCTGATTTGTCCCTCTCAATTGATGGTTTCAGTTCCCAGGGGAGATAAACGGCGTTTAGGCCGTAGCACAGTTTCGCCCTACAGAAAACACTCGGAGGGAACACTTTAAGGATATCGTGACCGAGCTTTATGCCTTCACATAATAAAGGTAGACTTTTACCATGGGTACTTTTGGACGAACTCGTGATTTGATACTCTAGCTGTCGCAAAGACGCGCGAAGTACTCAGATATGAGACGAAAAAGTTACCCCCCCCCCCCTCGCTTCTGCAATGGCAGGCAATCAATAACCCCTGGAGCTGAAACATAATAGAGGGCTGAGTTCGTCAGTTAATGCCATAAGAGTTGGCATTGATACCTTTAACATTTTTAACATTTAACTTTAACATTTAAGGTTAAAATTTAGCGTGAATAAAATCCACACGTTGCTTGATCACCAGCTCACTCCAATGGAAAATCTGAGGTTGATTTAATGTTTTCATATTGATAGTGGAGAAAACGGCGAGGAGGGGGGTGTGTCAGTGTCAAAAAGTTCGGACGTTTTGTCTAGCTTATCGTCGCTTATCCTTGCCAAGCCTCAATGGGAAATATCGTGTCTCAGATCTGAGACGAAAACCTTCCACCTCTTTCATCTTCCTTCCAACATCACAGAGAACCCATCAGATGAAATGGTTACATCGGTCCACAAAAGAGAGGGTATTCCCACTCTGCATACCACCGGCTTCGTACCGAGTTGCCTTTCTCCTTTCATCTAATCTTGACCTGCTTGGTTTTTGCCCTTCATGAATTCATGATCTTCGTCTCATCCTTGCACCAGACGGATAAGACCCCTGGTTGTATGAACAAGGTTATTTGTTCAAACTCGCATCAAACAGCTTACGGGTAGACTTTCCTTCTTCTTCTTGGCTGTCTCTATCGATGTTTCCAGGTATCTGATTTTGATGATATGACGGACCAGCGATTAGTGTCCCCACGTTCCATATAGCATATCATATAAATTTGTCTCTTCCCTCGAGAATTCATTTATGTTTCTTCTTGTAAAAGTGTTTTGTATCTTTCCTCTTGTCTACCGCTCATTTTTGCTGTTTATCTTCTTTTTGCGTCTGGAACGTCACTCTTTAAACCCGTTTAATTCATAGTATATATTTCTACTACAATTCTTTCATAGTTTACAGTCTTTTCAAGAAGCAAACGACCAGCAAGCATCATGCATTCAACACTATTCATTGTCGTCCTAGGAGCCATGTCTGTAGTAGTCAACGCAGCTCCGGCATCGAAAACTGTGAATCCAAATGCAGTCACCGGAACAACATGCACCGATTCTTCAACGTACGTAACATGCTGTGGGACAATTGCACCAAGTACTGACATCCAGTAGAACTCTAGTGTCTCATGATATTAACGTAGCCCTTCTCGGCATTTGCGGAGGTATTGCAGGCACCATCCAGCAAGTAAGTAGTTTTTTCCTGATGCCATACATTTACATCGTCCTCTTACAGCGCTGCCCTCTGTTTCCATTAATCTAGCAAGTTATTAACAGCTTGGTGATGCAGTGCGGCGGAGAACCTACATCAACAACCGGAGAATCGGGCACTGCTCTTCTAAAGCTCAATGCTGCCACATCAGGACAAACGATTGATATTACGAAAGGAAGATGGGAGGGATGCATGAGAGCCGCGCGAGCGGTTTGCGGTGACAGTCCTTTCACAAGTACTTGCATCGGCGGAGCGAAAGTGAATGCTGGTAATGTAGACTTTGAGCTTTCTGCCGCGTAAGGAGTTTCAATGAATCATCACTCGATTAAGGAGGGAAAAGGGACAGGCAGAATAATAAGTCTCGAATTTATTTCTTTGACGCGCTGGGTGTGCACATATACTCACGAGTATACTGGCAATGGAAAAAAAAGGACCATCGGACAGAAATGGGCTAAAGATGTCCGGGGGGCCATTTAGTGTTTGGCTTCGGAATCGGAGTGGTAGCATATTATGTTACAGACTCAGGCATTTGAGTAGCATGAAGTACATAAAATTATCTTTCAATAACTCTAATAATTAAAGAATTACCGTCCAACTCCACATCTAAGCAGGCGTGCCTCACTAGATCCGTATAGCAAAATATTTATACTCGTATATTTTTGGATGACTTGGACTTTCCAGCGATGACGCCGAATATTATGCTACTAGGAGCTGAGTCACTAAAAGTCTGTGTATACATACAACCCGGACCCATACCCATCCATACCCCAACCGACTCCTCAATAACGTACTGGTATTTTCGAAAATCTCACGGTCATGTTCATGTGACTATATCAAGCACATGAATACCTAGTATTTGTCACTTGCCCAATAATTGAGTAACGGAAATTGTGAAAGGCAATGGTGGGTCCTATTTCTAATTACTGTGTGACGTTTGCTAGCGTTATGAATGTATAACATTTCCAATACCAATTTTGTCAATCTGGGAGTGGAATCGTTGATCGATGGGTCGAGTTGAAGTGGGGTAGGGAAGTTTAGCGGAAAACTTAAAGGGGGGGTAGAGGGGGTTGAAAGCTCAGGTTTATGATTAGATTTATTTCAAAGAATAACGAAATAATTATGAGTTTTTAACAAATGAGAGATTGAGAGGAAGGATAAAACTCAGAGTTATGATTGATGAGTCCAAGAGGGCAATTAAATGATCTGATAAAGAAATACATAAAAATTGTACTGCTTTTATGGAGATTTGATTGAGAATGAGCATGCTCCGAAAATAGTGTTAGTTCAATATATATATTGAGACATTCTAAAAGAGTAGGCATACAATAAGCCAATTCACGGTTCAAGTATCAGATATAATCTCCTATACTATGTAGAGACCTTTCCTATCCGGTACGCAGAGTGCGCGTGCAACCCTTCTCTTTTTTTTCTCCCTAACATCGTAACCCAGCGGTAGCATTTGATACAGGGCCCTGATTGAGTATATGTAACTTCGAGCCTACAACGTAAGACTGCTCTTCTCTTTACTAGGCATCCGAGATTGGCATCCTCACTTAGACACCATTCACTCATGGTATTTCACACTAGTGATTCTACTCTCTTACTCTTGAGAGCTCCAGGTATAAGGCGCTTTAGTCCCATCCAAGGAGTATTGATGGGGCTTTCACCTGTAAAGATGAAGACATCTATCTGGTACATTAGCTTTTATTTCTCGAACGTATCAGCATGAAAGAGCATGAACACATACCATACAACCAGCCCCCGAACAAACATCCGAAGAAGGGCGCTACCATAGGCACCCAAAAATAATAGTTTCCAGCACTCCAAACCTCGTGGCCATACCCTAGAAAGTAGCTCATTAATCTTGGGCCAAAGTCTCTCGCCAAATTGATAGCATATCCCGTCTCCCCTATGAAAGATTTGTATCAATTGTCTGGTTTAGCGCAGCGGCATCAGAGCTTTCACTTACATCCAAAGCAAGCTCCAATACCGAAGATCACGAAGAAAAGTCCAAGTGGGGTAAGATTTCCAGCTCCCAAGTTCCCATTATCTTGTAGGGCATAGATGCAAAACATGAGTATTGTGCTTGCGATGAACTCGGAGAAGAATTGACCAGTTTTCGTCATGAATGGGGCAGGGTAGGTACAGAATATACCTGCCGATGATGTGTTTAAGCCCACGGTTCGAATGTTGTGTCCACCTTCATATACATCGATGGCAGATTTGTAGTTGGCTGTAAACATTGATACGTTAGCGCGTGCATTATGAAAATGAGAGGAGACATACCATAGACCACACCGGCGGCACACATTGCACCTAGAACTTGAGCCAGCATGTAGATGGGGAATTTGCGCCAAGGGAATTTGCGATAGACACAGTTTGAGAACGTCACGGCTGGATTGATATGAGCCCCAGAAACACCGGAAGCATAGACTCCAAGCATAACCCCAATGCTGTCAAAATTTTTAGCGAATATATTGCTGAGACCAAGATGAATATGTACCCCCAGCCCCAAGATATTGATTGATATGAGCCCTTTTCACCTGAGCTTAGGACTACTTGCGCAACGACGCCATCTCCAAACAAGATCCTTTTGAATGTCAGTGGTTGTGAATGCACAAAAATGGGTGCCCATTCTATAGAAGCTCAGGTCTGCGTCAATACTGACAAGATGAATACACCGAAGAATTCCGAGAACGGTTCTCGCATGGCATGTCGAATGCGACTCCACAACAAATCTGGCTTGGATTGTTTCTCAAGTGCTTGTGGGATCTTATGGTCGATTCCAGGTCCGTGTTCTGCATAGGCGCCGCTATCTACGCTAGAGATTGCTTGCATATTTTGCCCATCCAGCGTGGACTCCTGCAAAGAGAGGTTTGGCGACGAATGTTTGGAGTCCGATACCTCAATACGTTGGTCATGACTGACGGTAGGTCTGGGCGATTCTTGCTTTTCTAGATTCATCTCGACAAACCAAATGGGTGCAGCAGTAGCAAAAGAATTTATGGATGTGAAATTGGATATATGAGGAGATAAGAAAAGTGTGCGACACGGCGACTTATCAATATGTAACTTGAAATTCTGATCAATGCAAGCAATTATATACGAACTCGAGGCTACGGAGCACACCGTCCTGTACCCGAAGTCGTCACACTCGATAGAACGAACATGTGAACACTAAGATCAAATAATTGAAACTATTGCCGCGCTGTCGAGAACGAGCTAGCACGCCTACACATGGAAAAAGATTGGTCTTGAGAACAACCTAGGCTGGCACTCCTGGAATACTTCGAGGGATGAGGTTGCCGTTTCTCACAACCGAACCAAAGCTAGCCTTGACTTTCATCATTACCGATGTGATAATAGGAGACGAAGTATTGGAGGGCATGTGAAAATATTCTTTCTTGCAAGTGTGCAAAGCGTGCATAAAAAATGATTAGATGGTTTCGTTCAAAAAAGCCGAGAGACTGTCGAAAGCTGTGAATTCCATTGCATCGGAGTATTTCCAATGTGGGAAAGATTAGGCAATGGCTGCTTCTCTCACGTACCAGCGGCATATAAATTGGCTCCTTCGTGGCTGCTAATGGCGATTGGTAGCATCACACTATGAGGTGACTAGCCTTGGGTGACCGTCAAGGATACACGAACGAGGAGATGCTATCAATAACTTCAGTCTATCCTTACTCCAGCTAGATGGCGGTTGACGACGCAGTATTGGTTGCTTAATCCCGCATCAACGATACCGACAGAAAACTAGAGACAATCACAAGGTGAAAGGAATTCAGTCTCTTCAGTTTACAAGAATCGTGTGAAATTTTGATCACAAATCAAAAGCCTAGCTATTGCGGCCGAACGAGATTCATCTTGGCCACTCGCTAAAAGTCGCGGGATTGAAGGGGTATTCTCGAGGAAAATGGGACTGTTGGAGCAAGTTTTCGTAGTTTGGTACATCACATCAGCTCTGTTGAGCTGTCAACCATACCATTGACTACTGTACTCGTACAACCTTCAAGTCTAATCGCGGATGTACTCGTACAACTATCGAGTATCTAATCGCCGATAACGCATCCTTTAAATTGCCTCTCAATGCGATCAATGGCGTAGCATCATGAGGGCTATAATATTAAAATAATCGCGACATGGTACCACCAATCAACACTTACCTTTCTGGCTGGACTCGTCAGTTTTGACTGCTCTGCAGGTAAATATCCACTTACCCCAGTCTCCACTGTATAACATTATGATACATATCATAACGCATATGCCCCGCATAGTAAAGATCTAATCTTACCGCGCAGTACATGAAAACAGTGCCAGGAATGGCAGGCGAGACAGTCTTGCCGATATCTATGCTGGATGGCTAACTGCATGGATGTCGGTTGTACGAAGGTGGTTCCTTGACATCAGGATGGAGCGAATGTTCACGCATTCAACGAGTGCCCAAATGCATGGCTTTGCATTCTAGTGGTTTCAAGCCGATGACTGACGGATACCTGAGCTGTTTGCGGAAGGCTTGAAGGATTGTTTGCCATGAGAATCACCAATGTCGGCTTATGTCCAGAATATGATACGTCAATGGCTTTCTCGTGTATGTCGACGAATATTTTCCAAGCAAGTTCTCATTCTGGGCTCAAGTTCAAATCATCATACGACCTCCTTGACGGATAAAGAGCTAGGATCATCATTGTTGATGACCTGGACTCTTCGCTTGTCCCAAGCATTTGAGAACTTCATCGTTGGGATTTTCTGGTGGGGCACCATGTGCATAATGCATACCAAGACAGAAAAACCCAGGGGTAGTCCTAACGCAGATGCAACTGGAGTGGAAAAGCTGACCGTTTGTTCTGTTGGCATTGGTAATCATTTGTGGGTTGCAATCATGGTCAGTTGGCACTAAAGTCCGTGTACGTGCTCTGGCATGTGGCGGGATTGCGGGGTAGTGGAGGGCGGTGCAAGGGCTGTCTCATGAGCCGAGCAACTTTGCTCGTTCTCTTAGTTCTAGAAGCTTTCCGGAAACGCAGCACCTCTTTCTCCATCTTTTCTTGTATTCGGCCTTTGCTTTTGGGGAAATGACTCATATAAGCGCAACAATCGCAAATAACCCCCAAATTATAATACCACATCATAATTCAGATATAATAAGTATCACACTGGTGGTGTTCATGTGTAATGCGCCGATGCCTGCCGAGGTATGACCAGAAATCCAACATGGTGCTAGAAACTCGTTCGATCAAAAACCGAACTAGAGAGAATTCTCCGAGAGCTTGCCATCAATATATTGACCTGCATCTGCTGTGCAATGTAAGCGTGGCTTTCCATTTTTGGTTCATATCTCTCCATAGTCTTGGGAATTCTGACCAAGGTTCTGACCTCGCCCCGCAATTGCATCTGCCAATTAGCGTCCGGCCAAAGATGACCCACTAGGTAAGAAGTTGGTTTGGGTCATTTCTGGTCCTTTACCACTTCGAGGGCAGATATCGAATGATAACTTAGTGTTCGATATTCTAACCCACAAGTGACTTAACCACTCAGCATGCATCTGGTGATACCCGTGATACCGTAACGTTACGCCCATCAGCCACTCTATTGGTCAGTACCAAGAGAACAAGAGGGCTTCATTTACTTTCGCATCATGTCGGCGGAATTGGCACCACTCCTTAAATGCAAGCCATTCACAATGGTCGGCTACCTCGTCGGGCTGGATTCCATTGAGACATCGCAGGCTTCAGCTATGTAAAACTTTGTCCGGACAAGGAGATTTCTAGACCTCTTCCTTCAGGCCCACGTCTTTCCTCGTGGCTACAAAACTCAGAGCTTTTGGCAACTTTATCTGCAAAAAGCAAAACAATCAACATGGGTGACCGCAATTTAGTGTCCAGCCATGAGTCTTTCATAGGTTCTATCGACCAAGGCACCACGAGCACAAGATTCTTAATCTTTAACAGAGAAGGCGAACCAGTTGCGTCGCATCAAGTCGAGTTCTCTCAGATATATCCACAATCGGGGTACGTAATCCTACCCATACAGATGGTGATGAATGCTGACCAGAAAAAGATGGCATGAGCATGACCCTCTTGAAATTATTGACTCAATAGAGGCTTGCATTGAAGGTGCTGTTAAACAGCTCGAAGAACAAGGCCACTTGGCGAGACAGATCAAAGCCGTGGGACTAACGAATCAACGAGAAACGACGGTTGTCTGGGACCACGAAACGGGAGAGCCCCTAGCGAATGCCATCGTTTGGACAGATACCAGAAACCAAGCCTTGGTCAGAAAATTGAAACTTCGACTTGGATCTGATAAACTGCAAAGTCTTTGTGGTCTTCCCTTATCGACGTATCCTTCCGTTGGCAAGCTTCTGTGGTTGATTGAAAACAATGACAAGGTTGCAGATGCCTATGCTCGAGGTCATTTGGCGTTTGGGACTGTCGACGCCTGGGTTATTTACAAGCTCAATGGTGGACCAAAGAAGAATGTGTTCGTCACGGATCCAACAAATGCATCTCGTTCGATGTTTATGAATTTACATACTCTCAAATATGATGACCAGCTTCTGGATTTCTTCAGATTCGATATGAACAAACTTCAGTGAGTTACTTGCTATTTGCAATCTGAATTACGCGCTAACGTATTAGTCTTCCCAAGATTGTCCGCTCGTCGGATCGCGAAGCCTTCGGAACTCTTACAGCTGGAATTTTGAAAGGAGTTCAAATCACGGGTGTGTTAGGCGATCAATCTGCGTAAGCACGAATTGTTCTTTGTTTTCAAACTCCCGGATACATGCCTCCAACCTCCAGTTTCATCTTCCGCATCCTGATTACTCCCCTTTACAACTTTTATTTCTGACTTTGCTTCCAAAGAGGTCCTTGACAGGCAATTACTGACTCCTAATGATGCAGGGCACTCGTGGGTCAAAAAGGCTTCACTCCGGGGAGAGCGAAGAACACGTATGGGACAGGGTGCTTCCTACTCTACCACGTTGGTGACAAACCTGTAATCTCCACCCATGGGCTTTTGAGTACGGTTGCGTACGACTTTGATGGTAAACCTCAATATGCTTTGGAAGGAAGTATCGCAGTTGCAGGGTCCAGTATCAAGTTCCTTCAGAACAATCTTGGCTTCATTGACTCTTCAACCCAAATCAGTCAGCTTGCTGAGACTGTAGAAGATAATGGGGGTGTCACTTTTGTGACAGCTTTCAGTGGATTGTTCGCTCCATACTGGTATGATGATGCTCGCGGCACTCTTTGTAAGATCCCCGTCACCACTTTATCAACTGTACTAATCAATTGATAGTCGGTATCACAGCTTATACGCAAAAAGGTCATATCGCTCGCGCTACCTTGGAGGCGACGTGTTTTCAGACGAAAGCCATCTTGGACGCGATGGAGAAGGATAGTGGAAAGAAACTTGCTGAGCTCGCTGTCGATGGTGGCATGAGCAACTCTGATCTCTGTATGCAAGTAAGTTACATTGCCTAGCCCCTTTCATCTTGGATGAAGTCTAAAGTTGTTTCAGACTCAAGCCGATCTTATCTCAATCCCGGTTGAACGGCCAAAGATGTTGGAGACGACAGCATTGGGTGCCGCAATCGCTGCAGGATTCGCCATCGGAGTCTGGGAAACTTTCGACGAATTGAAAAACATCAATACCGCGGGCAAAACAGAATTCCATCCCAAGATCACCCAGGAAGAGAGCAAGGAGAGGTTTTCACGATGGTCCAAGGCAGTAGAAATGTGCAAGGGCTGGCTATAAAGGAATACTGGTAGTCGTGAAAAAGATGAAGGAAGTAAACACGAGAATTTGTAGATATTAGATGCGTACCCATGTACCCTCAGATGGGTGGGGTGGCGGCGCTGTTTATTTGTTTGTCTCTTTCCAGAAATCCCCACCAATTAGCTTCTGCCACAATTATACATATATACGCACCACGTGATCCGCGCTCAGGCGATCTATGATTCTGCAAACGGTTGAGCCGCGCCAGGAAGGTGGGGTGATGTATTTATATAACATGCCTCCAACCACATGGTCCAGCATCATTGAGCAAAACAGCAAGCTCGTGTGTATCAAGTTCGTCATATGGGAGCAACGGAAGTCATGTTTCAGGTAATTTGAGCTTCAGGTGTCGAGGACACCAGAAGGATGTCCGATGTGTCTAATCGCACGTTTTCTAGATTCATCAATGCAACGGCAATGGATCATATACCCCTTATCGTTCAATATCCAAGCGAAAATACCCTTCACATCTACTTCAATACATCGATCTAAGCTACATAGTATATCCTATCAAGTTATAGGATTGTAGTACCGGTACTCAACATCATATCAAACACAAAACTTTCATTATATATATCAGATCATTACAATTCCTTGCCTTTATTTCATTATAACAAATGAAGATGGATAATAATCAGTCACACCAAGCCATACAGCTATAATACTCTACATCACATCATCTAACGAACATGCATCATTATTTATATCCAAGCGATACAATTCAGCACATTCAGTTGGGGAACAAGCGTTGCAGAGCTTGAACGGTTTGGAATTGGCTATCAAATCATATACCAAGTACACCATAGCTTAATATTCAAGAGACCCATGCCTTCAATATCCATGACAGGTTCTGGAGGTCAATATTGCCAAGAAGACATCCAGGTTTGTGTGTTGGTGGATGGATGAAGTCGACATGTTTCGTAATCCAAATCTCCATTGAAAGTTGAAATTATGGATGTCGGTGTGGTAAAGAGACCAACTGAAAACTTTTGCCAATTCAAGAAACAATTTTTTTAGATAAACTTTCGCATGGGGTCGAGCCATTGACTTCCTCGACTCCTCTTTTAATACCTCTTGGAGCTGCATCTCCACAAATTGGCATGGATATAGATGGTAATTCATCCGAAAAACTTCCAGCAACAGTCTCTTGTAAGGTTGTGACGGTGATTGGTAGACTAAGATCGCACGACGTGGTAACTGTGAGAGGTTGGTCGTCTTTCTCCGCCGCTTGAGTACTCTCACGGAGAGTTGTTTCTTTGTGCTTGGCCTCTTTCTCGGCTTTCAACTCATCTGGTCGTTTTGGAAAATCCTCGCCGGCACGAACCAAGCACAGTGTCTTTCTAGCCATCTGAGCAAACATCCATCGAACTTCGTACTTCAATTGCCTGGTTTCGTTCTTCTTCATTTTACGTTCCAATTTCTTCATTAGGTCCGCCTGCCTTTCCGCAGGACGTCTTTGTCGACGAGGACGTCCTTCGGGAGAGACACAAACACCATATCCTTCGCTATCAATGTAACTCTCACTACCGTCGCTGCGTTGCACGTAATAATGTCCGGCTAAGATGTTATCAGTATTGACTCATGCTATCTACAAGTAGAAGAAATCGGCACACTGGCAACGTACATCCAAATTTACATGATTTCTTTCCGTCTCTCTCGACGAATTTCATTTTAGAAAAAACAGAGTCGAGTCTCTTCATCAATTCCGTACGCTTCTTGGCATCCCCTTCAGGATCAGGAGGAGTAAACATGTTGTCAAAATCCTTTCGAATGTACGATGTAAGTTTACTTCTTTAACTCGATTGAAAATTTGGGTATTTATAAGATGTTGATAAAGAAGGATCAGGATCGGTTGGGTCATTGGCTAATTTAGCTTACAATAGTTCAAGCTGTAGCGCAATTTGACTTTTATCACATCACGACTGCCGTACGGTGACCTGGAAGCATCCCTCTGAACGATCTTAACCTGTTAAGCACTAAGTAACCAGTGTTAACTTAAAAAACCCAGTCTTAAGCCTTCATACAGCTTCTGGGCAGAACAGTCCATGAGTCATCGACTATCACTATCAGCAGTGTTTGCGTTAGTATTTCCCGTATTCCGTATACAGGCCCGTTCAATAATACATGTACTTGGAAGGTTCATTGCACTCCAAAGTTTAATATGCGTCATTAAAACATATCTGGTGCATAAACTGGTATTCACAATGGACTTTACTGGAAAGGAAACATAAACTTGTCTTGATCTGCATTCTAAAGACCCCGGTTGATTCTCTACCGTAAACTTTTGAAGAATTAGGACAAGATAAACAGGGAACTACTATTTTGAGTCGAAATGTATGGGATTTGATCCAATTTTCCCCATACTGAGAGAAAGATTCCCTGTTTATCTTGTCCGAATTCTTCAAACGTTTACGGGATATGATGAAAGATAGGAATAAACTTGGTGTCCTCGAAGAATGAGAAATGCAAAAGTCAGTGCCATCAAGAGTAATATGGTTGAGCATAAGTAATCTTGATACTATGATGGTATTGAAAGTAATATTATACTCGAGTACACCCAGTATAAAGTAGAGAACAACCCATTAAAAACCAAGTCTACAATGGAGGTAGGTGAAGAGTGGGGCTAATTATATATAGATATATAAAAGAGAGTTAAACATTGAAGAGTTCTACTCGTAGAGCTCAAAAGACTTTCAAGTTTGAGTGGCGCTGCTATTTCTTGGAATACTCTATTAATTCTAATGACAATAAATCAATCAAGTCAGTTAGTTCTCTCGGAAATATAACAGCGTTGGCAACTATTAACCTGTTCAACTGATTGATCTTCAACTACCTTCTTATCTCACCAAACTGAGCTTAAGCCCTTACTGTATACAGCTTAATTTTTAGTGTTTCGAATCAGCAATACAAGATTGTCGCCCAAAAGTGGATAAAACCTGTAGATCAGATAATCTATTTTATTGATTGTTCCAATCATATAATCTATTAAACTACAGTTTTACTATTATATAGTTTGACCAAAGGGGTGAGGTCTCAAAGCTCAGTTTGGTGAGATACGAAGGTAGTTGGTTTAGAGTTTGTCGATCCCAAACTAGCAAACTAGTACATAGTTTAGTTTGCCGATCCCAAACTGGCAGTCAAACGGGTTCACATTGGCAAGCGGGATAATCTCTATTTTTGATGAAAAGTTGACGTAATTTTGCGTAGGAACCGGATATAAAACTAGGTACTCTCAACCCACTCACTCCAGTGACTCCACAGTCAGCAAACCTTAATACAGGTATATCTATAATTAGCTAGCTAATCAACAACTGATCCGAGTCAACGTTAATGACTCGGATAATATTTGTTATAGAAAGAATAACCGACACATCACATGTTAGAGACAGATCGACTAAAACCATAAGTAAATTCGGAAAGCATTCCGTAAATCCATATATCTATCTGTGTACTATTGATATCATATCATCAGATGCCGAATTTGGAGATATATACCTAGGTATAGGGATCAGCCGCTTAGTTTCCATTCGGGGTAAGCAATCGTTCCCATCGAATAATGTAAATTTATTAGACAAGATTGTGATATTATATGATACTATAATCTATAATAACTATTATATATTAGAAAGGATTTTGTTTATACTTTTAGAATGTATATACTTTATAATATCGAAGAAGGATAATCGCTTGTAGGGTAGACGGCCGCTCCAAGATGAGCCGACTATTACCAAATAAACCCCTGAGCTCCGATTTCTTCATCAAAGCTGGTCAGATGTAATTTTCCTTACACTGGCAAAACTGAAAAAGTACACTGGACGACTCAAGTATGAAGTATCTCAAAGAAAGATACAGTAAAAGCGCTTGGTAAATATTGTGATAATTTTACCCGCCACGAAAACTGTAAGATCACAATCTAAATTATTGCTACAAAAATTATATATAACATAGCATCAACCCCCAGGCATGTAGTGTATAATGACCGAGATACCCATATACGCATCCGAGAATATGCACGCCGCAGATGTAAGCCCCCAATGTAAAGCCAGCCATATATACCTCTAATAGGCACGCAGGTAAGTACCTTTTTTATCTACGCCGCCATCGGTGATTTCCTCACTCTCCCCGCCTCAGAATCCTTCTCTGGAACTGCCGTACCCCCGAAACCTAGCCCTGCACTCTTCTTTCTCCTTCCCTTTCTATCACCGTATTTCTCGTCGAATTTGCGGATTGCAGAGAGCGTGCTCATATCCTCGCTAATACTAGCACTTATCTCCTCCATTGCCCTGTCGAAATGCTTTTTGGTGAGGATACGTTTCTCGGGGTATGTGTAAGGTGTATCATCTTCGCACTTGGCAGCAATTTCGTTCTCTTCACGGATGCATGCCAATGCAGCGGCGACTGATAGATTTTTCAGATCCGATCCAGAGTAATAGGGTGTGTTTTTGGCGATTTCAACAAGAGAGACCGACTCGTCGATGATCTCACCTTTGAGATGAATTTTGAGAATAGACTCGCGATCCTTCTCGACAGGTAAGTCTACCAGGAGCCTTCGGGGCAGTCGGCGCAGTACAGCCTCGTCAAGGTCAAACGGTCGATTGGTAGCAACCATGATGAAGGCAGAAAGATCGTTCATGCCATCCCATTCCCGTAGAAATTGATTGATCATCTCTCTATGGGCAGTTGAGCGTTTAGTATCACCACGAGCAGCGAATATAGCATCTGCCTCGTCGATGAATACAATACAAGGTGAAAGTTTCTTAGCCAGGGTAAAAATTGCTCGGACGTTCTTCTCGCCTTCACCAACGTACATGTCGTTGACTTCAGCACCGCTGATCTCAAGAACGGTCGCGCCAGATTCTTTAGCCACTGCTTTGGCCAAAAGAGTCTTACCAGTACCAGGAGGTCCATACAAGAGCAAACCAGGCATCTTATCGGTAGCGAGTACACCATAAGTGAAAGCCTCCGGTCGTATCAATGACAAGCTTGTTAGAGTCTTCAGTGCTTCCACGGTTTCTTTTGGAGCATGGACATCTTCGAACCTGGTGTGAATATCCGAAGGTATGACCACACCTCCGAGCAGCTTCTTCTCGTGAGGAGTGCACGTTTTTCGAATCTGCTTCAATTTATCCTGAATGTTAATGGTTTTGTTTTTTGAGGAAGCATCGGTTTGATCAGGCTTCTTGTTCATGTCGATGTCATCATATTCCTCCTTTGACTCCGCTACGCCCCAAGAGAATTTGGCACTATCACTTTGGGAAAGCAGCTGTTGAGCTTTCCAAAACGTAGGTCCATCTATAGTCTCCGGATTATGTTCCAGTCCTAAAATAGTCGTTGCAAGCCTTTGTACGCGAGCATAATGCCAAACCGAATCACCTAAACCAGCAGAGTCGGCCCATGCGCTGTCGAGGTCTTTCTCTATATTCACAGTGATAGATGCATCGCCTGCGAGTTTCGTGATCATATCCTCGACATGTCGTATATTCAAGGCTCGGACGTGTAGCTTGTCGTCGGATACAAATACTTCATCTTGTTTTGGCCTTCGATCCGGAGGGACAATTATTGTTCTTTTCTCGATTTCGACTATGTCCGATTGGATATGCTGAATACCTGCTGCTGTGAGCCCGGATTTTCCTAGCTCCAACATACTTGTTCCGATCATGATTACGTTGCGTCCGGACTGCCAGCGTTTGGTGACCACTGTCCGCAGTTTATCGATGATATTATATCCATCATAAGTTCTCGTCAAATCCTTATAATCACGAACTTGTATGATGAGGTCTCTTGTGTTGGTTGCATCAGTACCTGAGGACTCCGATAGACGTTTTGAATCGGCCCCAGCTACCAATGCCTCAAGTAAAGCCATAGTCTTCAAATCGTTCCACTGTTCACCATTAGATTTCACGTTGCTGAAGGATGAGTTACTATTGCTAGAAGCCGAAAAGTTCGGATCTGCGAAATTGGCAAATGGCATCACGACATCTGATGACCGCCTGTTATTATCAGCTGCCGGTGAAAGTGACCCCTTTAATCGGTTGAAAATCGCCGAGAACTTTTTCTGTGCTTCAGAAGAGTTTGCTGCCGTGAAGGCAATTGCAGGACCAGACTTTTTCCCCATGCCCAACAAGTCTTCCTCCTCACCTCCTTCTATATCTTCAGACGCCGGGCTCGTGTCTGTTTCGTAATCTTCCAATCTGCCCGCCATTCTCGAGGTTTCGTAGCCTAAAAGAGATGCTTTCGCTGAAGTCCAGGCTAGATTCTCGTCGATATATGGCCCCAGAATTTGGGCTATGTCGACCGGATCGAGACGTATAAGATCGGCTCCTAATTTGGTCGAAATCGTCTCCACGACAGAGTCTAGGTACATTATCCCTCCGTATTTAGGACATTGCAAGTGGAGAATGGGTCTCACGACATTTTTACCATCCAAGATCGTTTGTGAGGGGCGTAATTTCAATCCTGCTCTGATGGATGCCAAAATCTCCCTGTAAACATCAACGTGCATGCTATATTTTGCTTCCTCGTTGGAAGGCAGGTCGCACTCCGCGTTGGATTTAATTGCATGGCTCATTTTCTCAGTTGCCTCAAGATCTGTCGGACTAGTCTTAGAGTCTGTGACGCTACTGTCATAGTAGACACCGAGCGAGCCGCTCTGTGGCAGCTCTCCGACCAATTTAACATTATTCCAATACCAATCCGGCAGTACAATCGGTGGCAGACCTTCCGGTTGTTTTTGTCGATTTGCTCTTAGGAGTCGGCCCGAGACTCTCCCTCGAGACCTTTGCTCAGACTCTATGCTATCAACTGGCTGTATTGGATCTTCTGCCACTGGGTTGTCCAACTCTGCTTCCGCAGGCACCTGCGGAACATCCACCGAATTTTCCAACTCAGCATCTTCAGATACTTTCGAGATATCCTCTATGCCAGTTTTCTCCCCTTTGTCATTTTCTGGAATCGGTGGGTCTTCAGGTGTACTGTAGGAGATTGCTGATCGGTGAAAGGTGCGTCGAGGAGGGGGGTATCTACAGCCTGCGATAATTCGACATGCCTGCCTGGGAACAGGATATCTGCTTATGCGAAGAGCTCGCAATGCTACGGCATGCATCCGGAAGGATTCCGCGCTCTATATTGAGCGTAAACTTCGTGGGGAATGGGAATATTGGTCGTGGAGGCGTTTGAAATACTTCTTTGAAGTTCTTCGAATCCAATAATACACCCGTCTCGTAAGGTTAAGGCATCCACAAAATAAATTCAGGCATCAATATTTGCTGACCAACAGAGACAACATGACAATGAAAATTGTCATCTACTCGAGCTAGTAGCTAGAACAATTCATCCTATCGATTTAGATACCGGTATTTAACATACAAAAATTGGCTACTCTTGTCGGATATATATACTCATATATACTAACAACATCTCCAACCATCTCCACATCCAAATTGACTTCTGATATTCAACAATATAACTATAGGACTGCTCAGCTTAGAATATCTACAATTAATGCTTGGAACTGCCCCATATGAATGAGTATTTCAATATCCTCTATAGCCTTAAATCCTGACGGGACCTTTTAGGGGTAATTATTATCTTTCTAATTGAAAGTATCTCAAAATATGCAAATTAGCTGGTTTTGCTCACATCATATACCGGTAGTATAAAATATATCAACATCTTAATCTTACAAAAATCAATACTCGTACTCGTATAGTATATCAAATCTATTTGGCTACCATATCTCCTCGACAGGCAACTGCCCAGTGATCAGCGGTAATTGTGGAAACCGTACTCGAGTAATATGTGCAGATATAACTCTTAGGATGATGTGTGTCGAAGTCAGGAGAAGTCTATAACTGTGTTTGAATCTAGTATATAGTGTGATGGTTAATAGAAGCCAATATCGGTATAACAAAACTACTTTACACATAAAAGTCTACAGGACAATGCCCGTCGAGGAGATATAGATATTATCACAAGAACCCAAGTGCCATATCTATGTTAACAATATTTAATTTGGGTATCTACTCGTAATAGTTATTCAAAAGTAGCAATCCAACGAAGCACCGACCCTTTTAGTATCCAGTTCTGGAAGCAGACCATCAAGCACATCACGAAGATCCCGAGGACCATTGGCAAAGCAATGATTAACGATTGTTCCATCGTTCAACCTCACATCCACTCCCCCATGTGCAAAATTAACCCTCCAATTATTCTGCACTTCGCGCGCCATCTCTTCTATGGCAACATCGTTGCCCACCTTTCCAGTATCAAAGTGTCTCAATCGAAGGTCAATATCTTGACCGCTTTTGAAGCAGGCTATTGCTGTCTCGACAAAACTATCGAAGCTCTCGAATATCTCATCCATGCCGCTGTCAGTGTTTAGATTATACAGGTGTGGCCTGCAAGCACGCCAGAATCGAAATATGACAGTAATGATACCTTGGTGGCTGGGGTGTACAGCTTCGAGACTATGGCCGAATCTACCATAGTGACGACAGAGGCCGTTGAACATTCGTTGTAATAGAACTTGCATATGACCCATGACCGGCCCGACCGAGTGCTCACTCATTTCGAGTTTTTCGAACGCTTTAGAGACTGCTACGAGGTATACTTCGCATGCGAGCCAGCCAGCTTCATTTTCGAACGCGACTTCTAATGCCGAAGGTACAATGTCAGTCAAGAGGAAGTCCAGCATATCGTTCTGCTGCGCACTCTTCGAAATTCGTTTGATGTAATTACAAAGAGCGTCGGTAGCCGACAAAGAATTTCTGAAACCGTTCCAAAGATAATACATCAATCCGTTTCGTGTCTTTTCCTGTTGCGAAGAGAGTTGGAGAGTATATGATGTCAAGCCCGCCAGATAAAGAGTAGGGTCCGTCTCTGGGGGCCAGTATGCAAGGGAGCGGCGGAAAAAGAACTCTGGCGGGTGACAAATATCGCTACAATGGGAGCGGATCTGCGAAACAATTTCTTGTACAAAAGTCACATAAGCTTTATGGGCAATAGCGTTAGTATTGTGGAGTTTTTGCAGGTGGTATTGCATTGAAATCATAGTAGAGTTCAACAAGCTCGAGAATTTGGTCTTGATCGTCTCTCTGGTCACATTGCCAAATGTGGAGGCCAGTAGTGCTTTGTCGGAGAATGTCTTCTGCATCTTACTGATGGCATCTAACCTAGTCAACACAAATCCTAAACGAAGACGCGGAGAGCTTACCTTTAATGAGTTGTTGATTCTTTGCCGCCGATGGCGTCTTCTCATGAATCAATTCTAGATACACACCTTGTACAATTCCGGGAGAAACAAGAAAATGCCCTTGCTTGAATAATTGATAAGTCAAGAAGTTTTCCCAATGAAGTTCTTGCTGAGGCTTGGAAATGGCTACCATCCATTCTGATCCAACGTCGAAACCAGGAACCTACCAAAAAGTTAGTCAATTTGAAAGCATTGAGGCAGCAAGGAGTGTTTACATCACCAGAATGCAATAACTTCGTATGCTCAAGTAGTTCACTGAGGAACAGTGGCCAAGCTACGAGTGTGAAATGCGATTGCTCCCGACCCTCAAAAACAGCGTTGACGCCTGCAGAGAGAAAGACTTTTGGAGACTAACATGACAATTAGCAGAGTGGATGGAAAGGGCCTTCGTGGGTGCTTACATAAAGGCCGAACTTCATGAAAATGGAGATGAGTTGAGCCCAGCACTTAGTCAATCGCTCTATAAAGAAGTAGTTTGTCGTGATTTCGAATGGGAACGGCCCGTCATGCAATATTCTCCGAATTGATTCTCGAAAGATTGACGTGATCTTACGATCGAGTGGCTGAGAAAATTAGCCTTGCGACGCAGTATAATTGAAAGGGTAGACATACGTTAATATAATCATCCTTAAACTGCATTTCTTTTGCCCAGTCAGGATCGGATTCCAGCCCCTGGCTGTCAAATTCTTCGTCCTCATCTGGGCTTGCTTCGGCTTTACTATCCGGCTCTGCGATATGAAGTTGACGCAAATAGCAAGCAAGAATCTCAATTCCAGACGATGTTAACTCTTGGTCAATCTTGTCTTTGGAAGAGCCAGTGGAAAACATCTTGACAATCATGTCTGAAAAGCAATCAGTGGGTGAATCTGTTACTACTTTGTTGGACTTACCGAGGTTTATGGCTTGCTTCAAAGCTATTGGATTGGAAAATTTCAATGTTTCTATCGCAGATCTCGCCACAGCTTGGATACAGGACATAGTGCTTTTTCGATTACAGTCAACGTCTATTTGGAAAGCTCCGTCAGATTGAATTTGTAGTTGCCGCCGTACTTGAGTTAGCTCCACATATTCTTCGAGCAGGCTATCGAAAAAAGAATCCTGCCAAGTAATGAATGGTTTATATGAATCGACAGGAAAACTGGAAGGGATGCTAGACAAAGTAAACCGGGCAAGCCGTTCCCAAGCCCTCAAGTTGATCAGAAAGGCTTCGTTATGTGAGCGCGCGGCCAGAACAAGCTTCCGCAGTAAAGTGACAGATGGTCCGTAACCTGGCGGAGCAGCCCAGTACACTGTACATAAAAGGTCGTGATGATTGCGCAAGGAGGCAAGATCACGATGAAAGATTGCCTCCTCCTTTGGAAATTGTCGATCATGATTGGGCAAAATTCGTGCGACTAAATTTCGAATACCTTTGACTTCGCCTGCTGCACGCTGATGCCTAATAGCAATAGCCACAATCTTTAGAAAAATATGAAAGCAACGATCCTCTGGCTCAACATCCAATGAATTCTCTGTAGCCAAATCTTCTAGAAATTGAGGCGACTTGTAAACCTCTTCATTTCGCAAATTTGCAAGCTTTTGTAAGGCAAAGCAGTCAAACAGAGTCCCAACTATTCCGCTACACTTCCACCAGCCCCACTTTGACATTAGATAATGACATCGACTTACAATTGCTCTACAGTAATCGTTGAAGCTTGGTGATTGCCTAACATTTGTCGCATATAGCGCAAACACTCTTTTGATCAATTGTTGTGTAAGTGACCAGTTATCAACCCCAACTTCCGGCCGTGAACCTGATGAAGTGCAACCATGTTCATCAAATTCGAATAGTGGCAGAAGAGAGAACATAAAGAGCCATAGCTTTTCCATAGTATTGGCATCATGTAATGAGCTTATGCTTCTGATACCTAATCGTATGTTTGCGATATCCCAGAACGAAGCTCGCGGGATTTTGGCGGCCCTTAGCACATGAATGATGATGATCCAAGATTCGGCAATATGACGATCATTTCTTATGCCATTCTCTCGTACTGACAAATATTGCAAATCATCGTACATCTTCCTCACAGTCTCTAAGCTTTGCGGTACCAAGAGACTGATGCAACAGCTTGCCATTTTTTGCAATACTTCTTCGAAATGGAATGTCGATGCATGTGCACTAGACCGAGACATCCGAAGTAACCGAAGCGAGAGTACTAAAAGCCTAGTCGTAACTTCGATGGTCTGCCTGTTGTCAACACTGGATACAGAGCCTTGAAACATATCGAGACGAGATGAGAAGTCTTCTAGTATCTCTAACATTCGGAGCAAAAAATCGGCCTTCAATTCCAAACGTTGGAAAATGATGCTATGCTGTACATAATCCAAGATGAGAGTGGCCATTAAGGTCAAGTCAGACGTATCCGGTACCTCAGATGTGTTGGTCAATTGCTCGGTTAGCCAGTCAACGCAAACCCCCATCTGTTCCGAAACAACCTCATTCCATTCTCCCCATACAAAGACTTTATCTCCTAGCCTCAGTGAAGTCGGAGACCGGTCAAATGTCACGAGGTCTGTACTGCTCAAAATATCTGCGAGGCGCCCGCTACCAAGGAAGGTCGTCTCATGGAAATATATTCCCGACTGTAGTGGGAAAACATCAAAGTGATGAGGGTACCTTGTACCGAATTTTCCAAGGCCAAAAAGTTTCCCTTCATCTGTACCTATATCACCTAACGAAGGCAATAAGAAATCTGAGATAAGCGGCTCACTCGACTGGCGGTAGATAGCTGCACCTGCATCTACACGCTTGGGTAATCGCTTCCGACATCGAGGCTGCATAGCAACCTGTGCAGGAGCAATCGGCATTGAACCATGGTCTTCGTTGGAAACATCGGCCTCTATTGAGGGATGTATCATATCATCATCGGCCAAGAAACGGCTTAGTTGAAGGTTGCCCCGTTGTAGGGGCTGTCGGCGACCCATGCGGAAAAGGGCATCAAGGGTTTTCTTCCTCGGTTCTAAGGTATTGATAGGGAATTGAATGGCCTCTAACTGCGCTGAACGTGCAGATGGAGCTGTATAATAAGGATTCGGCCGTGCTCTTTGCTTGACTTTGGGGTTGAATGCTGCGATATTCTTGGAGGGGAGCTCTTCTAACTCGGCATCTCTGTTCGCCACAAAATCATTCATTGAAAGCTGCGTTACCCTGGACACGCGAACCTTCCTCATATTAGTGTAGTCGGCATTCACTTGAGAACCGTTAAGGTTCATATTGAGTTTCGTTGGTGGTGGAAGCTTCGCTTGTTGATTGTATGACAGCTGGGCGAGCGGATACGCATGGTTAACATTTTCAGGTCTGGGCATACATGGAATATTCCTGGGCTGTATTTTGCGACTCCTCCAATCTTGCAGAACGGATTGGGCATCAGCGGTATCTTCGCGAGTGGCAAGCCTGATATACTTCCGCGTTGGACTTTGACGTCCAAGTTCCTTTCGTGATCTTGCGCTACGAGCAGCAACCTTAAGGAATGCTGGGGCATTCGGCTCAAAATGACCAGAATTTCCAGCAATGTCTATTATGCTGAGTTTGGGTGGAAATTTCTTGTGCCGTCTTCGTTTGGGTTTACTAGCCTTGCGGACACCTGTAGCTGTAGCCGTAAGGTGTGAAGTTATCCTCGGTTGATATGAAGGTTGTTTTTGTCTCCCACTAGAATAAGATTTCATTAAGCGCTTGACATTGGGTTGGCTCAATTGGTTCTTAACTCTGCGTTTACGACTTGGAGTTGGCAGCATGCCATCAACACGATCATGTTCGGTAGCAAATCCCAAATTTGATTCTTGAAACAGGCTAGGAGCTTCGGCTCGTTCGTCGTCTTCCATAAAAAAATCAGTGGGGTCATTTTCCCCAAGCCCATCGCTTTCGTCGGATTCTAAGAATGGAAGTCGGCTCGTAGGCTGTGTGGAAGGAGTTTGGTTGGACCCTCGCACTACAGGAAGAGCAACGCCAGCACGATTCTCGCTCGGCTTTTGGTTTTTTCTAGCTTGGAGTTTTTGTTCTCGTATCTCCTTTTTCTTCTGATCAAGCCTTAAATGGGACGCTGGTAGTACGTGATTCATTCTTTTCTTCAAGATTATCATTGTGTCCTCCTCTTCCGATGACGACGAAGAAGAAGCGGATGGTGAAGAAGGGATTACGATTGGATCGGCAAACGGATCGTCTACGTCAGACATAATTTCTATAGGTGATGTATAAGAAGATGCCTTGATAACACTCGTAATTGGCGTGTGCACTTCCATCGTCCGCCGAAACTGTGGAGAGCTCTGGTCTAGCCAGACAGGAGTTGAAGCAGCCGAAGAAGCAAGAGAGACAACGCGAGACATAGGTCTCCGTGTGTTTGCTGAACGAATCGGAGGGGAACTAGTTGGGGATGAGCCAGGAAACTCATATATGTTCAAGGCTGGTTCTTTATACTCATGTCGAGTTGGGGATGGCAATTTGGGCCATGTTTTGGTTGAGTACTTCTTTGATACTTTCTTGTTTTTCGAATGCACAAGGTTTGACTTCTGTTTAAACAAATCAGGGAGATCCGGGAATTCTTGGTCACTGTCAACTTCCTCTTCCCTTATTGTAGAATACTGTGGCCCGCTGATGGTTTCGCGTATGCTATCTGTCAATATGGACGGTGGTGGAGAATCTCTATCCATACCTAGGGGTTGGCTTTCTTCTGCGACACCCACTTCTACCTCTTCTGGATCTTGAAAATCCATATCCTCTAATTCCTGGTCATGTATGAGTCGGTTCCTGCGATTGTGCCTATCTTGGCTTTGTTCGATTCGAATTGGCTGGATATGAAAGGCTTTCATCCGGCGCTCGTACCGCTGTTGCTCTAATAGAAACGGGTGTATCTGCACAGGCTTTCTTTCTCTAAATTGTCTTCTGGGCAAGTAGTCTAAAGGGTCAAAACCTGGTTGCGTTTGTTCCGGTCTGTCTTCGCGTATTCTCTCTGAATCGTGCAAAAGTATGGGTCGTTGCACTGGCGAGGAGAGAGGCTGTGCCACTGGAGACAAACGATTTGGGGTTGCTGGAGGTGATGATAGAGTACTGGATGCCGGAGATAGAGTCCTAACCCAGCTTCTAGAAATCTCATCAAATTCTGCTTCTGCGGTTAGTACCTCCGAAGACGTAAGCACTCCGTCTTCAAAAGGTTGCCTTTGGTTCTGCTTCGCATTGGCTGACAAGTCTTTCGTGATTTCTTCTTGTGGATTGCAACAGGATTCCTCATTTACCATATCGAATGGTTGAATCATATCTACGGATGAAGCCAATATTTCTTCCTCGCCTTCACCATCAATTCTTCCCTCCAAGACATCGTCAATATCGTGAAATTCATCGTTCCCGGCATTATCTCGTTTCTCGTAATCAGCAGTACTTTGGGAATCAGATTCCTCTTCATCTTCCGAATCCGGTACCACTCCTTTCTCCTTCCAATTTGCCATTTATGTCAGATAACATACTCGAAAGGTATGAAGTTGTTCTCGTGGCGCAAGTTTGAAGGGATGATTATATATTTTGAGGTTGACGCGACTATGAACCACTTTACGCGACCAAACTTTTACGGTAGTCGAGTAGAACGTAAGTGCAACTTTTAGTCAGCTTTCGTAAGTTACTTACGGAATTTCCTCAAATGAAGAACTTCACCTATCAACTGTATCACATTAGTATCGGTACGGACTCTCTGCTTCCAAGAGAAATCATGAGTAAAGTTAAAGGAATCTTCCCGTTCTTCTTAGCCACGGCTTTAGGCATTGGTAACGGTACGTAATAGTATCACAATAATCGTATTGATAGCATTTATTAAGAAAACTTCAGGTATCTGGGTGTTTGGACCGGCTTTGAAAGAGCAACAAGAAACCAATTTACAGGCAAAGTGAGTGAAGTGAAGGAAATACTTACTTCATATTCGCGTTATAATTGACTAAATCAACACAGAGCACCATTCATGAATCCAATTCAAACCCAAGAAAGCGAAGCAGCAAGAATAGCAGAAGTAGAAGCAAGTCGAGCTGCTACCACACTTGCTTCATTGAATCCAAGCAAACCTCCAAATTCTTCTTGGTGGCAGTCTGCCAAATCCTGGCTCGGAACCACAAACAAATGAACTTACCGCTGAGGCCAATAAATAAGGAGCCGGTCGTAATATTTGTTACATAGCATATCATATCATAAGATGAGATATGGCAAGCGCCATATTTTAGCTCTATTGGTTACCAGAAGGCAGAGCAGGGTAGGGTAAGGTGTTGACTTCTTGTGGATTGTCGGCGGTCCTCAGTGTAATTATATAGAATGCTTGCTTGCTGTATAGTCATATCTCGCCAGCTGCCCTCGCAATTCAAAATTTCCGCATGTCACATTACCGGGTCATGATAGCTGTTCAAAAATGGCAGGTCCATCAAGGATACCGTTTCCTTGATATGTGAAACGGCAGTCCAAAATAAAGAACTTAGACTTGTAATATTGAGAGTAAAATATTCTGATAGAAAAAAAATGATAACAAAAAGGGATCAAGCGAGTATTAACCTTACTGTTGTACTATACCACCATTGGACAACAACATTGAAAGTGTAACAGGATTTCGACTTTCAGGTCGAGTCTTCACAACGTCGGTATAGTCGTCAACACAACACTGAATTGATATTACTAGTAGCTGATTAACATCGAAGTCGATCATTGTCACAAGGGATTGGTACGTCATATAATAGTCACGTGAGCCCATGATTTATGAGTTCACGACGCGTTTCACTGATAAGATAAGAGCCATCATGTCGTCATCGGCTTCATTCGACTACCTACATTCGCTGTTCAACTCAACATGAAATTGCGTTGATATTTGGAAAACGAATTCGAAGGTTTCCTCCCATTCCCTTAAATACATTTTAAAAATCATGGCTCCTTGGACATCGAAACCAGCGTCGGCTCAAGATCATGAGCATGATCTTTGTACAATGTTGGAGATTGAGGAACGGGTTGATCTAACGCTCCTTGTTGCTGATATTACAGAGGTCATGCAGAAGAATATCAGTGACAATTTTGATGCTTCCATCAGCACAGGAGAAGCACCGGTCAAAGTCTTAGAAGTTGATTATATAAACCCCAATACTGATGATAGCAAGCCTGAGGAGGAATCGGAAGATGAGGAGAAAGCTCGACAATTAAGGGAGAAGAGAGAAAAAGAATTATCGGCTCCCAAGATGTTGGAGCTGAAGCATGATTCTCTCAAGTTCTTTCAAGAATGGCAAGAGACAGTGATATCCAGAATTGGAACAGTCGTCAACAATCCAAAAGAAGTCACCGAAGAGCAGAAGAAAAAGGCCAGTGCAGATTCAACTCCCAATGCGCCACCGAAAACCAAAGTCGTTAGTATGTATTACAGCTGTTTACTTTCAATCACCACCTTATTTCGAACATGAAATGACTAATAATCGCAGGGCAAACTACGAATGTTGTGGAGGCGGATGCAGCTTTAGTAGATCTTTACCCACCGACATCCACAGCTCTTTACTCTTTACCAGAAGAGAAACGAGTGATGCTTCTACATGCTATGCTACTACTTCTCCTTTCTTTGGAACACTACACAGCACATTCCCGCATTCTTCTGCTTCATATAGCATCATCGTTACACCTTCCTCTTCACATCCTCACTGAGATGGAGGTGAAGGTTGCACAAGGTCTCCTAGAGGCCGCCAAGAAGATGTCTGGCAATGAAGAGACACAAAAACGGAGCGACGAGAACAAAGTAGCCCGGAGATGGAAGGTAGGACTTGCAGGTGTTGCTGGCGCCGCAATCATCGGCGTGACGGGTGGCCTCGCAGCTCCGTTAGTCGCTGGAGCTCTGGGCACAGTAATGGGAGGGCTTGGCCTTGGTGCGACTACGGCGGCAGGATTATTGGGAGCTCTGGCTGAAAGTGGAGTTATTGTTGGAAGTCTGTTTGGTGCTTATGGTGCTAGCATGACAGGCAAGATGATGGACTCTTACGCAAAAGAGGTTTCTGACTTTGCATTTCTTCCGCTCGGAGGATCGCCACATCAAAAGTCTGTCAAGGAAATAGCAGCAAAAGATCGGAGATTGAGAGTCACAATAGGTATTAGTGGATGGTTGACCCAGAAAGAAGATGTCATCACCCCATGGCGAGTTCTTGGACATCAAAGCGAGGTCTTCGCCCTGCGATATGAACTTGAGGCCCTTTCTAAACTAGGGACATCGTTAGAATCGGTGGTAAAAAGTACAGCTTGGTCTATCGCCAAGAAAGAGATTATTGCTCGAACGATATTCGCTAGTTTGATGACCGCTCTCTGGCCGATCGGGCTATTGAATATCTCGAAAGTTGTAGACAATCCATTTTCGGTGGCTAAAAACCGAGCAGATAAAGCAGGCCTAGTACTTGCGGATGCACTTATCAACAAGGCACACAGGGGAGAGGCCAGTCACTTTGATTGGATACAGTCTAGGGGCTAGGCTAATCTACTCGTGTTTGATGAGTCTTGCAGAACGTCGAGCATTCGGTTTAATCGAGTAAGTACGGTCTATTACTCCACGAAACTTTCAAATTTAGTGTTACATAGATGTACAGATCATCATAATTCACTACAGTCAAGAACCATGCTGACGCGTCGATGGCAGATCAGCAGTACTCATCGGAGCGCCAGCTCCTTCCGACGCAAGTGCGTGGCGAGCTATGCGCAGTGTAGTTTCTGGACGACTCGTGAACGTATATTCCGAGAACGATTACATACTGGCTTTTCTATACCGTACCAGCAGCATACAATTTGGTGTTGCCGGTCTTCAAGAAGCCCAAGATGTAAAAGGGATCGAGAACGTCAATGTAAGCGAGATGGTGAGCGGTCACCTACGCTATCAATATCTTGTGGGTACCATTTTGGAAAAGATAGGTTTTGAAGATATCGATGTGGAGGAGGTTGCAAAGGAGGAAGAAACTTTGGAATTGTTGGACGAGCAGGAGAAGAAAGAAGAAGAGGAGAAGGGAAATGCGGAGGATGTGAATGTGGATCCAGAGGTTGAGGCAAGGAAATTGGAGAGGGATGTCCAACTAAAGACTGATGAGACCATGATGCAGCAAGGCGCGGAGAAGTTGTATATCAATTAAGTACATCATGAAGTATTTTCCTATATTGTAGTTGCAGAGAGCATGTACCGTGAGAATATAAAGGACAAGGTTCCGCATACGCATTAAGCAGTTTGGAGGATATATACTATTTGTGCAGATAGCTAGGTGGAGTTGGATGTTGGAGGGGTATGATCTAAAAGATCAAAGGAGTGTAAAGCAATAGAGTAGCGTTTTCTACTTTGTGAATGGTGGTTTACTCTGTATGGTAAGGGGTGTTTCGAGTGGGTCTATGACATGACTGAAGAAGGGGGAGGAGAGGTGCCAGTGGAAATTCGATTTTAGAGTTGAGGGAGGTAAATTGGGTATCCTGGTGGCAGTTATTGGCGGAGCAAGACGAGCAGGACAATGTTATAGGGGGCTCCTATGATGGTGATGGAGATTTGGACGTGGGCGAAAGGACTATGGCATACATGGCGACTTTACTGAATGCTGTGAAGCTGCAAATGGGGTATCAATTCTGAAGTTATCATCGCCATATTTCCCGTCAACTTTCACCCTGCGCCTCAAGCTTCTCGTTTTCTATAACTGGGAGAACTTCTCCTTCCACCTCCATCTGATTATCTTCCACCAACTTCTCATCCGTCCCCTTTCCACTTCTCACGATGAAATACTTTCCGCCCCCAAACTCAACATTCTCGGTCGCAGTCCCTGTCACATCCCAGTCCTCTACACCTTTTGTATCAATCACACCATCCGTCCGCCTCCTCGGTCGCTTGTTCCTCCCTTCATATTCCTCTTTTTCCAACGCTGCCTTGATTTCTTCAGTCTCTAACCCAATTGACTCAAGCGCCTCTGCCTGCCACGTTTCGTCCCTAATACTCCTCAGTGGTTCAATACCCTCTGTATTGACCTTTTGAATATCCCTTAAAAAATGTAATTGTAAATGTAGGGTATCTAGTAACTTCTTCTCTTCTTCCGGTGTTTCGGGGAGGGGGAGCGCAGAGAGTCGGCATAAATGATGAAGTTGTTTGACGGTGATTTCTTCGGCAGGCTTCTCGTTGGAAGAGGGTAGAAGTGATCGAACCGACCAGGTTGGTTTCGAGAGGAGATCTTTTATGTCAGTGTTCTGGTGAGTGAGGTCCAGACCCTTTCGAGCAAATACTCGACGGATTGGTAGCTCTTGATCTTCTGGTATGGGAGTTAGAGGGGTCGTTATCCGGGTTCCGTAGAGCTTAGCACTGCGCGACACAAAGGGTTTTGGTTTAGCTTCTGTAGACGTCTCATGAGGGGCTTCTGAAGTACTACTGTATGATCGAGAAAGAGGATTTGAGGTGCGCGTGGATTTTTTGCTGGAGAAGGAATGCCGCAGCGATACACGACAACGTAGACATATTGATCCCGACATATTTATGATCAAATTGGTGATGACAGGGCTCTCAGTAACTATTAAATGTTGATGATTTTATATTGCGATTTGTCGTATATGTTTCTCCGTACAAATTAAATAAATATTCCCATGCTCTTCCCCACAAGTACACTAGTGTGTGATTCGCAGGTGGGATGGCAATAATGGCTATGTCAGAGCTCAAGGACCAGAAACAAACAAACCCTTGCACCTTGAAAGTTGTCTTTAAAACCACCTAACACATGTCAACTCTTACAACCCTCTGATAAAACTCATTAATTGATACTTTGTCTTTAAAGTATCTACTTATATTACGTCAACGGATATCTACCTTACACCACATTGCAGTCATGGCACAAGATCCTCGCACTCTTATGCAAAAGGTAATAACCCCATCATCCTCTACCCGACAAGCTTTCGTATTGACCGTTTTCAACAGGCAGAGAAAGCAGTTACGGGAGCTTCCAGTGGATTCAGCCTTTTTGGTGGACGACAGGAGAAATGGGAAAATGCAGCTGAACTATACCAACAAGCTGCGAATGCATTTCGCATGCAGAAGCAAAGTAATGATTTCCCAAGCCTTCTCTGTACCTCCCTCCACATCTAGACTGACACGTTGATTATCACAGACAAGGAGGCCGGGCAGGCATTTGAGCGCGCTGCCGATATCCAAACCAATAAACTTAATGAGCCGGACGATGCTGCGAATACACTTACAGAAGCCTTCAAGGTATACAAGAAGGGAGATCCACTAGATGCGGTTAGATGCCTTGACGTTGCGATCAACCATTATACATCGAAAGGAAACTTTAGGAGAGCTGCCACGCATAAACAGAATATGGCAGAGGTGTATGAAATGGAGATTGGGGACATGAAAAAGGCAATCGAAAGTTATGAATTGGCTGCCAGTTGGTTTGAGGCCGACAATGCCGAGGCGTGAGTTTTGACCTCTATACTTCGCACGAGGTATTGGCTGGTGACGAGCATTTACTGATATATCTACAGACTGGCCAATAAACTCTACCTCAAGGTCGCCGATATCGCCGCTCTCGACGGCGATTATTACAAGGCCATTGAACATTTTGAAAAGGTAGCCGCATCCTCCGTCTCGAACAATCTCATGAAGTGGTCGGTAAAGGATTATTTCCTTAAGGCCGGACTGTGCCATCTAGCTGTCGGCGATACAGTGGCCACCGGGCGAGCTTTTGAAAAGTACAGAGACATGGATCCAACATTCCCCAGCACAAGAGAACATCAACTATTGGTCGATCTCGCAGAGGCTGTGGATGCAGGGGACCAGGAACAATTCGCGGACAAGTTGTTCCAATATGATCAAATGAGCAAGCTGGACAAGTGGAAGACGACAATTTTGTTGAAAGTCAAGAATGCCATCGAGGAGAAAGGGGATGATTTCTCATGATCTAAACTTGAGTCGAGCAGAATTATCTATGGTATGGCGTTTGGTTTTTGGGTGATATCTTGGTGGAAGCTTCAGAGAAATATAACATCGTATTTGATTTCAGTAATGGATCTTGAAAAAAATAGCAGTATGAAAGTGATGAGTGTCATTGTGACTTCAACAAATGATTTCGTGGTTAGTGTTTGCAGGATGACTCTCAGATGGGCTCCCGGTGAGCCTCTTCTCTATTTGTAACTCGAAATAAAAGACTCGAATTTTAAATTTCAATAACTTTTTTTATAATGTCGCTAAATTGCAAAAATCCATATCTGAGCTAATAACTATATGAAAATTCTATTACTATTAGAATATTATATAATAATACTTAATATTAATACAATTATAAAATTTAAAAGCTATTGTTTTTGATATAAAACAGTAGCTTAAAAGAGAGATAGTAGATTTATAGAATTTATTTTAAATAGAGAGAAAAGAGAATAAAATCTATAGTAGAAGAGTAGAATCTATAATAGAAGAGTAAATATAATAAGAAAGTAGATATAAAGAGAAAATAGAATCTATAATAGAAAGATAGATAATAAGATAGTATAATCTATAGTAAAAAAGTAAAGTAGAATTCATAGTAGGAGAATAGAATCTATAATAAGAGAGTATAATCTATAGTGAAAAAGCGAAGTAATATTATAGTAAGAGAATAGAATCTATATTAAGAGAGTAGAATCTGAAGTAAAAAAGTGAAGTGATATTATAATAAGAGAATAGAATCTATAATGAGAGAGTAGAATCTATAGTAAAAAAGCGAAGTAATATTTATAGTAGAAGAATAGAATTTATAATCAAAGGATATAATCTAAGTAGTATAGAAGTAATATAATATACTTTTGATAGTATAAGAGTAATTTGCCGTATATTCAAATACTAATATTAGATAATAGTATTAGAGAGTTTCTATTTGTTTCTAAAGTAGATTCTTATTCGATTATTATTTATTAGCTTAAATAGTATCTGAATAATATCTAAATACTTAAGTGATTTTATATAGTATAAATTCTTGAAATTGAGATAAAATATATAGAGATCGTATAACTAGAAGAATACTTTTACTCTATAATAGAACAGACGTGTCACGGGTTCACGACCCGTTCCTAGCTAGCTCGGATGTATGCCTTAGGCATCCATCCACCATATAGTCATCGTCACTCCGCGCGCCTCCTTCTCTCCTCGTCGAATATCATATATCATACCTAATACCCACCAGAACCCATACCAGCCCCGTAATAGTATGTTCGACCCTTCAAAAAGTTCCACTGCCAATCAACCCAACCTTAATTCTTTTATTTTGCAAAAAACTTGCAGGGTTATTATTTACTATACAATACAATTGATCACTTAACGAAAAGTGAACTTAAACAACTTTATTTTATAAAAACATTGATACTACGAATACCTTGATATTACAAATACCTTGATACTACAAAGCTTGAGAACTTTGAACTCTATTTTCATCTTATAATAGATAATATTGAAAACCTATAAATTACCCCAACAAATACCATTAATACAAGCATATCCATTATTACAGATATCAAAACATCCAATAGCCTTAAAACTCATATCCAAACTACTTTTCATAAAAGTCCTTTCACTACTGATATACTTTCGAATCAATCTGATACACTAAACCCAGATCTATTAATTCAGTTATTTGTTAATGAAACTAATAAATCACTTATCAAACTCTATATCAAACATTTGTTTTCAATATTCGAGAATACTGTTATATAACAATACAAAGCTAAAACAAATCTTGAAATAAAGCAAATAAATATTCAAAAAAAATGTATCACTTATATAACTATTAAAGAAAACCTTGTTACAATCTAAACTCAGTTTATAAAAATACAAATACAACTTTAACAAAACAATACGCCAATTGCTGAAATATAGAATCTGAATAATAGAATTCCTTAGGTTCATTAAACTATATATAATCCCAAGTCTTTTAAAAAAGAAAAAACAAATACATTGATATAATAAGAAGGATATTGTTGGTATCAACGGGAACACCTTTCAGATCTACGATGGTAGAAAGTCCGACGGGTGTTCAGTGTTGATATCAATAAAAAACTTGTTGATTATTATTCTATATGATGGAGACTATATGTGTATTGAAGCCCTTTCGCTAAGGCTTGCCCTAGCCCTTCGCTAGTACGGTGCCAGTACTCCGGTATAGTAGATGACTATACCGACACTTATTATTAATATAAAGGTTTTATTATAATCTTTTACGAGTACTTAACTAAATCCTTATACTACTAGTCTTACCTTGAATCTCCCAATTTTATTGTTCTTGATCTTAATAATAAAGATTTATTTTATAAAGATTAAATTGCTTTCTTTTAATAAAATGAACTTTTCCCAGGTTCTATTCTATATTAATGATTTGATTTTCCTTTTGGATTATATTC